TTGTGTGGAGAATATAACAGGTCTGTGGTGGCGAACTTATGGCACGGGTGCCACAGGCGGCACGCGGAACCGTCCCTGTGGGCACGTGCGCCATCGCCACAGAGGGAGGCTGGGCCAGGCTGCTACCCTCCGCCTCTCCACATGCGCCTGCGCTCTTGCTCTCTCTTGACCGTGGGGGGGGGTGCGAAATCCGGGCAGCAGAAACCACGTCCACCCAGCGGCCCACGCCCACCCAGCGGCCCACGCCCACCCGGCACCCGGCAATACATAAGTGGGTTTTGGGTTGCAGTTTGGGCACTCAATCTCTAAAAGGTTCGCCACCACTGACTTAGGTCATAGTTATACAGAAATGTTGAAAATTCAAAATGGTTCACACACTGTTAAACATCACCATAAATAGCCAAATTTGTAAGTTGATTATACAACCTACAATGGAACCTGATAGGTCCCTTATGAGATTGTTGGAAATAATATATCTTGTATTCAACATCTGTCTTATTAAAGGCCATATCTATAAATAATTATTAGTGTCTCAACCAATTTTATATCCTTTTGACTGCAGTGTTTACTGTTTGCCCTTCATGGTCACAACAATGGATATAGAAACATGCCAGGATAATATTTAATGTGTCTTATCAAATGAACTACAATCTACAATACCATTTTATGACAGCATTCTTAGTCTTCTAAATTTCACAACTCTCCCTAATGTAACATGCTACTTCTCTGACACCATCAAATAGGCTACAGAATGATTGGAAATAAAAATGAAATTTGACAAATTTACATAGGATTTACTTTCCATGTACAGAATTACAATATACAATAGAGTATACAATAGAATATAAATAACAATAACTGGGATTCACTGAACACATAGCCACTAGGGCTAGGCCATCGGAAAAACAATGTGATCTCTTTCCCTTGAATTTCAATTGTGTGCTCTTGATAATATTTCCTTTGGTGTGGAAAAGCTTGGTACAGCTGGGTCATGCATGTGTATCATTCTCACGGATGCACAATTAAAAACTGGTGCTTGCAGTGAAAAGATGTAGAGAAGAAAAAGTAAACGTCGATAAGATGACATACTTATTCTCAGTCTGTTCTTTAGTTTCATTTCTATATTTAGCCAGTATCATGTCTGATATGAATTCCCTAGCACTGTGATTGGAGCTATGTCAGAGGGGTCATGTCAATGCCTGAGCAAAGGGGTTCACGATAAGGACTGTGTACTCAGCATGCAAAAATATGCAGTTGTGTATGAAAAGCAGATGTGCATCAACACCACAAACATTCAGTTTTTAGCCTGCTGGATTGCAGATCAAAAGGTTAAAGAAAGGATTTATTAAGAATGAGTAGTGACAATTTAAATAAATCAGAAGTTTTTGCCGAAGATTATGCTGTGATTTTCTCCAATTATTCCTGACATTTCACCCATTCATATCGTGATGAGAGTTAATAATGCAAGGAGAGGAAAAAAGACTCTTGTCTCCTTGTTTATTCATTGTTCTCAAGGAGCTAAGCTGTTTATAGAGAGAAGTTATTTGTTATTTAAATCACTTTTTGCCAAAGTTGTTTATTCTCTGTTCGAGTATCTAAAAATATTGTTTTTAGCAAATATGCAATGTCTTTTTGAGATGTCTGTGCAATTCATAGTGATTTGCACACTGGAGTTCATTGTTAAATGGGTCCAGGTGTTGATGAATTTAACATCTGAGAGTGAGCTAACTCATTAAAGCTCAAAAAAGGACACAAAAAAGAAAGCTATTTTTAAATCATATAAAAATGTTATTTGATACAATTACTAACAGTACAATCTTATATCTACCTTTAAGCAAGTCTCATTGAAGTACCTATGTGTACATTTATACAATCAATAACATACATTTTATGTTTTGTAACATAATCCTGAATCCTATTGTTCTAAATTTTATTTAGATTATTAATGTACTTCAGTTATATCCTTTTTCCATTTCTAGATAAATAAGTGATGTTAGAAAAAGAATAGGAAACAGAGTTCACAAAATTAATCAGGCTTAAGATTTCTTGGTTTTATTGTAAATTTAAGAGTGCATTTAATTTTCACTGAAATCAATGAGATAGTAAAGCTCCTAATTTTAAAATCATGCTCACAGAATACAGTCACTATTCACTAATTAAAAATATGTCATTGTTAACCAATATAATGAATGGAAATGCTACATAATATACAGTATTGACAGAACATGCAAGCAAGATGTGTTGCTTGTGACTGGAGTTGTTGTTGTTGTTAATTGCGAAGTTGTGTCCGACCCATCGCGACCCCATGGACAACGTTCCTCCAGGTCTTCCTGTCCTCTACCATCTTCTGGAGTCCATTTAAGTTCACACCTACTGCTTCAGTGACTCCATTCAGCCACCTCATTCTCTGTCGTCCCATTCTTCTATTGCCCTCAATCTTTCCCAGCATTATGCCCTTCTCTAGTGAGTCCTTCCTTCTCATTAGGTGGCCAAAGTATTTGAGTTTCAACTTTAGGACCTGGCCTTCTAAAGAGCAGCCGGGGTTGATCTCTTCTAGGACTGACTGGTTTGAACACCTTGCAGTCCAAGGGACTTGCAGGAGTCTTCTCCAGCACCATAGTTCAAAGGCCTCAATTCTTTTGTGACTGGAGACTGAATGCCAAAGTTAGAAATATTAAGGATGAATATGTAGCTATATGGCTTAGAAAACAAAACTAAAGCAGGAAGCTAACTTATTAACTTCTTCCACTGTAATGATTTATTCATAGTTACCATTTCCAGACAGAAAAAAAAAGATATCCACCAGAGGAGTACTGTACATAGAAATCAAATTGACATTATTGCTAAAATTAGGTGAAGGAGTTTAGTAAAAGCATCAAAGATATGGGCAGCTGCTGATTGTGGAACAGACCACAAACTGTTCATTTGTAAATTCCTACTAAGCTAAAGAAAAATAAGAAAGCCAATCACTATGATTTTGAGCATCTACCCTCCATTTTCAAGGGGAAAAAAAATCACAAATCACATTGAAATCCTGAACTATGGAATGAAGTTAAGGAAGCAGCTAAAGATAAATGTGAAAAGGGACAGAAGATGAAGAGACAGAAAAAAGGAAACTGGAAGTGGGCGGGGGGACAGGAAACTGGAAGGTGGAGGAGGAGGAGGAGAAGAAAAAGGAAAGCAAAGGAAGGTAAAGATCTCAGGAAGGACCTTAAGGAAGAGTTTCAGAGAGTTGTTTGATATCAGGCCCAAAACCAAAAAAACCAAGATGGGTTATTTTGTTATTGTTTCATACCTGTAGACAAAAACATGGCACACTGAGCACTTTACTATCTGCATCTACCACCCGGGTGTCAAAATCGATCGTGTCACGTGATGTATTGTGACTTTTTTGCCTTTGCAGAGCCGGGGTGGGCGTGGCCTGCGTGTGACGCATCCAGCCTGCAGGCCGCCAGTTTGATACCCATGGTCTACCATATACTCTGCAAACTATTAGAGAAGGTCTGTGACTTCATCTCCTTTCTTTCACACATAACATCTAGACTGAGTTGCCTTTTACTCCTCTGGAATGCACCACCTGCCTCCTGGGAATCCATCTCCTCACTACTTTCCATCACATTGGAAGACTCATGAAGCAGTATTGCAACAACATCTGTAAAGATATTGAAGATGGAAACAGTCAGGAAAGGAAAAGTGGTCCAAAAGATCTCTGAAATCAAAAGAAGATTCCAAACCGCTAAAAGTTGCCAGTGCATAGACAGCAACTGATTCAAAGAAGATTAAAGAAAGATGGATTATACTGAAACACTATACAAGAATGGGAAGCATCAATAACTGAATCCTACTGTGATCTGATTGGCTCATTGCCAAAATAAGATGACACCTGATTGGTTCTCTAAACACTCATGCTCTTTGGCTACAATCAGATGAAGGAAAGCTACCTAATATCAACCTAAGCAAGTTGCGCTTCCTTTTTCTGGTTATTTGGCTATAACTTTTCATAGAATACAGTACAGATAATTGAACAAACTTTGTTGCATTACATTCTTGATTAAATTATCTTTCCATTGATATATAATTTTATGGTACTACTACAACAAAAAAAAGTGTTATTAGCCATTAAACCTTAAAAATACACTTTTCCCAAAAGGTTTCCACAATTTTGGCCACTACTGTAACTGCTTCACTCTATCATGGAATCCCCAGGCCAGTTGATAAAACCATGTCTTAAGGTCCTTAAAAATATAGACTTACCGTATATAGTTCATTTCACATATAGGGCTTGTTTTGCATGATATTCACAGAATTGTACACGCTAACTAGGTTCACCCACACAGTACTTTCAGTATGATAAACAGTCATACTGTTTATCATACTGCATACATAAAGTTAAATGCAATCACTGTGTACAAGCCTTACTGACAAGACTTAAAGTCTGAAGAAACCTGCAGGGCATGTTTAGACGCTGAAGCCCCACCAGAGAAATTATTTTCTGTTGGAGTAAATCGGATATAAAATATTGGAATTACTCGTTAGCACCGTAGTACATCTGCACGTAATATTCAATCCATGCCAAGTTATACGCGTGTTAAAGAATCGTAAGCCCTCAATCGATATGCTCTCTCACGGACTCAGAGGGATATGTGATCATAAACGTTCCGTATTAAAACAATGCAGTTCTGGTTCGTACCAAACCCATACACAGCCGGCAAAATCACAGAGTCGCAGCCGGCCGATTGAACGCAGCAGAAATACAACACTTCCCAGCATGCCTTTTGCATCCGGCCGCCTGCAGTCTCTTTGGAGCGGAGTCACGTGCTGCATTCTGGAGCTCGTAGTCCATGTAAAGGGCGAGTCTCTGGTTTAAGGTGAAGGTGAATGGAATCAGCCAGGCTGAGAAAAGGAGGCTTTGGCGGAGCGGCTGTATTTGCTGCCAATAAAGTTATCTTCAAAAAAGAAGGGAGGGGGGAGGAGAGGAGGGGGAAAAGGCAGCACGTCAAGATGGCGGCTCCCGTGTCGCCCTTGGTTACTGGGCGCCGCTTGATAAAAGCTGCCATTCGACCCGCCGCTCTCGTCCTAACGTGCTGGGCCCCGCGGAAAGGTTAGTGGCATTTGGGTCTAGGACGCAGGAAGTTGGCTCGCAATCTGTAGGGAGGAATAGGGCTCAGCTGGAAGGTCAGCTATCAAACGGCTCCCCTCGTTTCAAGCCCTGGCCGTGACTGTCAAAAAGAGTCCCAGCAGTGCGGGTGGCGAGTTAAAGCGGCTCGGCTTTCTTTCCTGCACTTGAATCTCCCGGCATCGGCTTTTCGGGAAGTGTGACGCGTGTTCCGAAGAGGAACGTCCAGCGTGTTTTAAAAGTTCTGGAATGTCCGTGAATGCTGAAAAAGTTAAGACTATAAAGGCCGGCCGTTCTGCTAGCTCTCTCCATTTTAAAACGTACGGCCTAAGGCAGGGATCTCCAACTTTGACAACTTTAAGACTTGTGGACTTCAACTCCCAGAATTCCCTAGCCAGCAGAACTGGCTGGGGATTTCTGGGAGTTGAAGTTCACAAGTCTTAAAAATTGCCAAGGTTAGAGACCTCTAGCCCAGTGTTTCTCAACCTTGACAATTTTAAGGCATGTGGACTTCAACTCCCAGAATTCTACAGCCAGCAATGCTGGCTGTGGAATTCTGGGAGTTGAAGTCCACATGCCTTAAAATTGTCAAGGTTGAGAAACACTGCGTCTAGCCTAAGGATTTTATGCGCTTTAGGGATGTTCTTCAATTTTATTTCTCATCTGTAATGGAGAGCTGATTTAAAGAAGATGAACATTTGTTAGTGTGTACTAATTATTCCCCGAGAAGTGTCTCTTTATATACAATTTGCCAATAAGATGTTGTACATATCCTTCTTTTGTGCCCAGCAAAGAGAAAACCCTACTTCAGGTTGATTTTTCAAAGCTCTTCCAGATGCTGCCTTATACAAATTTAGTTATGTTAACATCAGTGAATCAAAGTTTAACACATAAACCAGGAGGATCAAGCAAACCACTATGTTTTAATATGCTGTATAATGTTGGTTTTGCGACAAAAGTAGAATAAAAAAATACTTCTGGGTATGGACTGAGCATTGATGTCCGAACATGCAAAGCTCTTTGTGGATTATTTTTTAATAGCCATTACCTTTATAGTTGTGGAGGTCTTGTCTTAATGGCAAAAGAGTAGATTGGCTGAACATCAGGAACTGCTGGTTTATCTCTAATAAGGCTGAGTATCAGTACAAGAGACTGTTCATTCTGTATGGCTCAGAACTGATTGAGTTGCGGGAAAAAAATAACCTCTTCCACTGAAGACTCATCAGTAAACCTTCTTCCTGACAAATGGGAAGCTCCCAATGCTGAAAAATGTTGCACTGATGGATTCTGCAGCCTGTACTTTACTGTCACAAAAATTATGTACAGAAAAATACTCTTATCAATTAACATTTTTTCACAAAATATAGATGTACTTTGCAGCTGTTTTGGTAAATTGTCAAGGTTAACAGTTGTCAGATTATATAGATAGGTGATAAATACATATATTCAAGCATCTTTTGTTGCAGGGGATGCATGTTAAAAACTTCTTGGAAGTTATAAATTTGCAAGCATAGCAATAAGTCCTATGTGCTATAATTCAGTTACAGTGCATATTGTGATTATGGAGTGAAAACAACACTTTTAGTATCTGCATGTATGTTTTTGTCTTGAAGTTAACACTAGTCTTGCTAGTAGACACTGCTCTAGGAAATAGAGGCCCTATAACTGATTTGGATAATGTGTGCTTTTCTATTGGTTAATTTTAATTTGCACCAATGTAAAATAATATTTACAAATCTTCAAAATTTAACTTATCACACAGGGAAACCTTTTAGATAACAGATTCATTTTCTTGCCTACCATGGCCAAACTTTGGATAGGCTGAATTCCATCCTACATAATCTGTTTGCTCATAAGATTCTAGGTTTTAAAATAAGAATGCATGTTAAATTATGTGGAATTTATAAAAAGTAGATTAGGGTGCGTATGTCAGAATCTTTCATACTTCAGATGTATCTGTGTCAGTGTTAGCCGATTCAGAATATGCATTCTTGCTTAAGAATATGGGAAACTGCAGAATTAGTTTACATCTAGTGCAGTGTTTTTCAACCTTGGCAGGTTTAAGGTGTGAGGACTTCAACTCCCAGATTTTCCCAGCCAGCCAAACTTAATATCTCAGTGGCAATTATTATAAGATGCATTCTTATTCTGAGAAGAGCAAGAGTCAAAGGTAGTGTCATTCTACTCCATAATCTAATTTATTCAGCATGTGCCTGTCTCTTTGTTATTCTCTCCTTTTCTACCAATTCCTTTCCCCTCTCCTTTGTTCTCATTAGCTGCTTACCAGAGTAGGGACAGTTCTGTCATACTAAAAATTTGAAAAAATACTTGGTGTATATATGTAAGAAATAAAAGATGTAGTAGTGCTCAAAGGAACGAATTAGAATTTAAAAATGGCTATACTTTAGCACAAAAGAGTGAAGTTTTGGGGGGACATAAATAGCAGAGATAGCTGGTACAGGAAGCAACTGTCTGTAAGGAGCACAACCAACCAGTGGATGAGAATGACTATCAGGAGTATGATATTTAGAAGTGATACTTAATCACTGGAAGAATAACTATTTCGATCTCTAGCAGGAGAAGCAGGCAGCATCAAGTTTCCCAACTGAAAAGGAGGCAAGAAGGTAGAATTTTGAACAGCATGGATGATGCAACTAAGGTCATGCTGCACACAGAGATAGCTAATCATCTCAGCTCTCTAGGCTTTTAACTCCTTATTCAGATATTTACTTATTGATGAGGAGGTGCACAGGCATGGTTAGCAAGATTAATCTCTTTATTGTAGATGAGTGAATCGGCATGCATACAGAACATAAACATTGTATTATACAGAAATCAAAGTCCTCATATGATAATTAATTTATACTACTCAGTTTAAATTCTAGGCCAGTGGTTCTCAACCTGTGGTCTGTGAACCCCTGGGCGACCACGATGTCACAAGGGGTCTGTGAAGGTTTGAAGAAATGTTATGATTTAAAACTTGAGTTAAGTCTTGGGAGTCCGTGACCACAAAAGGTATTTAAAGGGGTCTGTGATGAAGAAAAGGTTGAGAACGTTGTTCTAGGCTTTTCCCTCCTTCCTTTCCAATTCAATGAATATTTGGGACATTCTCTTTATGGACTTGCAATGCACTGATTTGTGAGAGGACAATTTTCTCCAGTATAGGAAGGAACCAGTGGTTTTTACCTTGGCAGCTTTATTGCCAGAAGGATGGATGTTGAAGAATAGTTGCCAAAGCTTAGAACAGTGGTGGCGAACCTATGGCACGGGTGCCAGAGGCGGCACTCAGAGCCCTCTCTATGGGCACGCGTGCCATTGCCCCAGTCCTAGGCCTTCAGCTGGGTTTTATAAAACCTTTTTGCATTAGACCTCCGCCACCGTGTGCAAAAAAAAAAAGGTTCAATCAGTCAATTTCAACTTCTCGCAGGAAAAAAAAAGATCTTGCAAAGTTGGACTTGATTGATTGAACTTTTTAGTCCCACCCAGTCTGCCGTTACCACCGCAGCCACGCCCACCCAATGGGCCACGCCCACCCAATGGGTCACACCCACCTGGCACTCGACGATGCATAAATGGGTTTTGGGTTGCAGTTTGGGCACTCAGTCTCTAAAAGGTCCGCCATCACTGGCTTAGAAAGACCAGTTATTTTTCCTGGTCATTCTTACTGGGGAAAAAAGAAAAAGAAATCTGCAAGCAATAGCTGCACTATGGCTTTTGAAGATCTAGAAAATAATCTGAAGAGAACAACAAAACAAGAATGGAAAGCTGGCAGCCCGGGTTTGAGACACAGGTGCCATACGATGTAAGCTCCTGTTACTTGCCCCAGCTCCTGCTCAACTAGCAGTTCTAAAGCATGCAAATGCAAGTGTATAAATAGGTACCACTTTGGTGGGAAGGTAACAGCATTCCGTGTGCCTTGGCGTATAGTCACGCTGGCCACATGACCACAGAAGTGTCTTCAGATAGTGCTGGCTCCCTTGGCTAGGAAACAGAGTTGAGCACTGCTCTCTAGAGTCGGACACAACTCGACAGGGGAAACCTTTACTTTTATATGAAAATGTAACACTCTTGTTTAATAATAATAATAATAATAATAATAATAATAATAATAATAATAATAATAATAATAGTAGTAGTAGTAGTAGTAGTAGTAGTAGTAGTAGTAGTAGTAGTAGTAGTAGTAAAGTTGGAAGGGACCTTGGAGGTCATCTAGTCCAACCCCCTGCTCAGGCAGGAAACCCTATACCATTTCGGACAAATGGCTGTCCAGTCNCTCGTCCTTCTCTTCATTAAACAATATTCTAATACATAGAATATTGATATTTATGTGTTACTCCCTATCTTGTGATGTCATAGAAATATCATCTCAATGGCCCAATGAAGGACGGCATGCATTGTGTATATTGATCTGCAGTTGTACATGTTGATCTGAAATCAAAGCGAGACTGATGAATTGTAGTGCCACTGAACATGCATTTAGTAATGTTAAGCGTTGAAAACCCTTTTTGCTTTGCATGCTTGTGGTGTTCGTGAAAAACACACCAGAAATCTGGGCAGAGGTTTCTGGCCACGCTAACACTGTGTATTATTTTATACCGCGCATATTGAAGGTGATGGGTGTTCCGTATGTGTGTTTAAGCCATATGTAGAAAGTAGTCTTGGAATAGAACACAAAGTTTATAATAAATTTTATTATTTAGGTCTCATGTTCTTCCGAATGCTGCAGAAGGCTCACAAATTATCTGTTAATGGGGAGTAAATTGGACTAAGAAGATAAGTGTTCCTCAAACTTGGCCGCTTGAAGATGGGTAGACTTCAACTCCCAGAATTCCCCAGCCAGCACAGCTAGGGAATTCTGGGAACTGAAGTCCACCCATCTTCAAGCGGCCAAGGTTAATTTAAGAAGCACTGGAAAAAATAATGACTAGCCCAAAGTCATCACTGATGACATTAAGAGAGCCAGTTTGGTGTAGCGATTAAGGTCTTGGCCAAGAAACCAGGAGACTGTGAATTCTAGTCCTGTCTTAGGCAGGAAGACCAACTGGGTGACTTTAGGCCAGTTACTCTCTCTCAGCCCAACCCACCTCACAGGATTGTTGTTGTGGACAAAATAGGAGAAGGAAAGTGTATTAAGTATGTTTGCCGCTGTAAGTTATTTATAAAAACAATAAAGGTGGGATAAAAGTAAATCAGCGAGCTTTGTGGTCCAAGGGATTTGACCAGCGTTTCTCATTTCAGCCCACTAATTTATTATAGAAGAATAAGGCTGACTCTTAGTTCTTCTTCTTCTTCTTTTTTAAAAGTAAATAAATGTTTCTCTCATGTCATACAGCATATACAGTTCAGGTAGCAGAAAAAGCCACTGCTGGTGGTCTAGCAGATGCTAATTCGAAAGCCTTATTGCTTTGCAATGGACCTTTAGAACATTATGAATTTCTTACCAAAGTGGAGCAGCTGAGGAATGATGAACAGCAGCAAAAAGTCATGCGGTGCCTGCAGAAACTACATGAAAGTCTTAAGGGGTACAACCTCAGCCCAAAACACATATTCTCAAAGGTAAAGTTCTGCCATTAAGCATTTGTGTAGCAGTTTTTGTGTCTGGTTCAAATGATTTTTTCTGAATTTGATTGCAACAGCTCTGTAAACGATGTTATTTAATAATCCCAGTTCATGCCTAAGAGCAGGGGTGTCAAACTGCCGGCCCGCGGGCCGGATACGTCACGCCGAAACCGCACCCACCCCATTGCTGGCAACAGAAAAAAACTCACGATACGTCGCGACATGTCATGTGACGTTGTGAGTTTGACACCCCTGCCTAAGAGGCTGAGACTAAGAAGATAAGACAACAAGGCTGAGTATCAGAAATAGTAATGATTACTTAACATTCAAGTTATAAATAAGAAACGTATTTATATTTTTATTCTCCCCAGTGCAATTAAACTTAGAACATTTTATTGATTGAGATATTTTCATGGGAAGTACTCCAATCCCAAATTGATCTGCAACCTATATTCAGTTCCTAAATAAAGTTACTTGGGAAAAGTTACTAATAACAATTTACCAATGTTTGATAGAAAAAAAGCTCAGCTGTCACTGTTCTACAACTTGAAATGTACTTAAGTGATGTATACTATTACCTCAGTAACACTGTTCATTGTTGTGTCCCCAAGAATGTACAGATTCTACATAATGTTTGGGATTGTTCTATCTTTAATATGCGTAGTGTGGAAGGTAGTATCCTGAACCTTACAAAGAGGTCTTTGCCAGAAGGTGGCAGAGTCATACTGTAATCTGAAGAAAATAGTTCAGATTTTTGTGCTATGCTGTACTTATTCTAGTTGCTTTTAACATTTCTTTTCAGGACTCTGGTGAAAACCTGCAAGTTTTGCCCACTAGTACTAGACTAGACAGAGGAAAACATCAGAAGCCTCTTCCAGATTAATATCTATTGATTAAACATTAATCTATAGCAGGGCTTTTCAACCTTTTCACCCATTGTACCACTTTTAGGATATGGCAACATCCGAGTACCACCAGTCGCCCAGCAAGGTGTTAAAAACTTGATGACCCCCCCCCAAAAAGGAAAAAAGTGGTAAAGTACAGGTAGCCCTCGACTTACAACAGTTCGCTTAGTGACTGTTCGAAGTTACAATGGCACTGAAAAAAGTGCCCCCCAAGCCACAGCCGAGCAAGACACCTGCCTGCCCGCCCGGCCGCGCTCTTCCACCTGTCCGAGGTTTTCATTGTTGTGAGCATTTCTGTTGAGGATTGGCAGCAGGGGGTGGGGTGGGGGGGTGTTTGGTTTTTATTCCCCCCATCTGCTGTATGGTTGCAGCAGGTTTTGGTCACTTCACATGACCCTGGGACACTGTGACCGTCATAAATATGAATCAGTTGCCAAGCATCTGAATGTAAATCACAAGACCCTGGAGAGGCTGCAACATTCCAACTGATTGGCGCTTCTTCAGGGCTCAGCAGAAGCACCAGGATCAGTGCCGAGCTCCAGGTGGATCCTGGCGCTGATCCTGGCGCTTCCATTGAACCCTGATAGCCCCGAAGAAGCGCCAATCAGCTGGAAAGCGGCACTGATCCTGGCGCTTCCGCTGAGCCCTGACAGCCCTGCAGCTCCAGCCATCTCTCTCTCAGGGTTGTGCAGTGCTGCCACTGGTTTAGTTCATTCTCCTCCCCCACTACTTTTCTAGGATGGTCGCGTACTACCTTTTCCTGGTTGAAAAGCCCTGATCTATAGGATAATGTGAAAGAAATGAACATGAGGCAAGAAGTAAGAATATCAGGCAAAATTGATCAAATGAATTGGGTAGAAATCAGCAGACAAAGATGGTGTTGAGGGGGGGCTGTTAGATAAATGGTCTATTTAGCATTTCCAAACAGTAAACAACAGTATTTCCCCCAGCTAAGGACTTGTTCATATTTATTGCTGGATAAATTGCAGTTCTTGGATAAGTTGCAGTTTGAACCCTAGGTCAGTGATGGCGAACCTTTTAGAGACCGAATGCCCAAACTGCAACCCAAAACCCACTTACGCATCGTCGGGTGCCGGGTGGGTGTGGCCCATTGGGTGGGCGTTGCCCACTGGGTGGGCGTGGCTGCGGTGGTAATGGCTGACTGTGTGGGACTAAAAAGTTCAATCAATCAATTCCAACTTTGCAAGATCTTTTTTTTCCCATGAGAAGTTGAAATTGACTGATTGATTGAAACTTTTTTTTTTTTGTACATGGCGGCGGAGGCCTAAAGCAAAAAGGTTTTATAAAACCCAGCTGAAGGCCTAGGACTGGGGTGACGGCGTGTGTGCCCACAGAGAGGACTCTGAGTGCCGTCTCTGGCACCCGTGCCATAGGTTCGCCACCACTGCCCTAGGTCCTTCTGTAAAAAAGCAGATCTCTTCATATCAGAATGTGGCACAATGGAGAATATATTGGTGTTTTAATTTTTAGAAAAACATCATTTAAAGATGTTAGTGCTGCAAGTACTGCAGGAATTATTTTTGAAGACATAAACTTTAGAAAAAGTATATCATTAATTTATTTTTGTTGGGAAATCCGCAGCAGGCAAGTGGGAGGGATCAAGCGGCGAGTTAGCCTCGAGTCATTGCACAGCTACAAGAGACCTAGGATGCCCCCCCCCAATGTCATGTGACTTTATCTGTTTGTACCCAAGAGAGGGTGAGCAATGTGGAGAAATTCTTCTGTTATAGGTAGAATACGATAGTTAACTTGAACATTTCACATCTGGATCTGCTTGCTTGCCCCTCACAATTTTATATATACCAAACTGCTAACATTTTTTAGTATTTCAAGTATATTTGATCTAGTGGAATATGCAAATTTGTATGTATTATTTAAAAAGCAGAGATGTTTATTTTAAGGGGAGATTTGTTATCTCCTTCCCCCTGCTCCCAAGTCAGTTTTGGAAACAGATCATTAAAGCTTCGCTTCCTCAATGAACTTTTCTGTGGAAATCTCACCTCCAACCTTATCTATGGGTAAGAGTTTCAGCGATACTTTTAGCCAGCATCTTGCTGGCAGCCAAAAACCTTTTAGCATGAATATACAAGCTGTTTCTGATTGAAGTCTTTCCTCTACCCTAACTCTGACATGCTGGAGATGGGAGAAGAGAGGATAATGTTAGAGATATGGTCCAGAGCAAGATTGCAAGCTAAATTTAATCAAACTTAAATTTCTAATTTATATAAGTAATGTAGTCCTCGACTTATAAGAGTTCACTTAGTGACCGTTCAAAGGTACAGTGGCACTGAAAGGAGTGAGTTGTGACTGTTTTTCACATGACCGTTGCAGCATCCCCATGGTCACATGATCAAAATTCAGGTGCTTAGGAAACTGACTCACATTTATGAGGGTTGCAGTGCCCAGGGGTCATGTGATCACCTTTTGCAACCTTCTGACAAGCAAAGTCAATAGGGAAGCCAGATTTACTTAACAACCACGTTACTAACTTAACAACTGCAGTGATTCACCTAACAACTGTAGCAAGAAAGATCATAAAATGGGGCAAAACTCACTTTACAGCTGTCTCACTTAGCAACAGAAATGTTGGGCTCAGTTGTAACAAGTTGAGGACTATCTGTATATTTGCACTAATTGCTCTCTTAAGTTTTAAATATTTTTCCGTTTCTGTCCCATAAAAATTATGGGTTGACAGCACTCTTTCAGGGGTTTCTTAGGATCATATCCAAGAGTCTGGAGAACTCCGAGCATCCTAAGTGTCTTGTGTTGTGTATTTTAATTTACAACTAGAACAAACCCTTTTTGAATATATTAGGCATCCCTAAATTGTATATTTCAGCGAATTCTTAGGTGACTAGAAGCTGGTATACCCTCTCCATGCTACAAAGTTAAATGTGTGACCTCTTTCTGGAAATTTGAATGGATCTGTATTATTTGTGTGGAATTATTTACCGATTTAGATTAAGAAAACAATGAATATAAGCACATAAAAAAAGTTTGGATAGCTTTTCAATTAGAACTTTGTAACACACCTTTAGCCAAAATAATACAGCTCTTATCTGAGGTTTCTGTTCTAGCTTTTGGCATTTTTCCCACTCTTCTTTAAAAAATTCTGCTAATTCAGAAATATTCTTGGAACTTTTGTACATTTGTCCTTGAGATCTCCCATAGATTTTCAGTGCTATTCAGATGGGGACTATGAAGGCCACACTAAAACCTTTATCTTTTTTTTTCTCAAAATAATTTCTGGTTGATTTGAAACATGTTTCAGATTGTTTTCTTCCTGAATGAAATATACAACCTCCTTTTAGCTCCAGATTCCTCGCTGACTGTGGACATTAGCTTCTATTTTTATACTTAGTTGACTCGGCTCTTCAAAAGTACCATAGATGAATATGTATTCATACCCTCGATATTTTTCTCTCCCTCACAAAAGGAGAAGACTAGACCAAAATAACAACGTATTAAACTTAATTTCCTTTAATGTAAGGCATTTCATTATAAAATTCATGATCCTACTCTGCATATACAAACCATTCCTAAACATAAAAATTGCTTTCAGAAATTGTCAGAAAATACTGTATAGCAGAATAGAAAAAAGGGGAAGTCAGATGGGGATGAGGAAGAAGAAAAAAATAATTTTCCAGAGAAGGGGACGAAAAGAGAAAATGAGAACAATGAAGAATGAATGAAGAAGTAACTGGACCAAAAGAAAGAAGAGAGTTTCAAAATGTTATATTCACAGGACAATGAGATCTTTCCAAACAACAGCAGAGTCTACAGCCATTTGTACCTCCTGCCCATTCCTTTTTTTTTCCAATAAATTCTTTTGTATTTATCAGCAAGCAAAAAGGTCTGCTTGCCTATTGAGTAGGTAGAACAGAAAAAGGAGATTCTCTTCTATCTGAGATTCCCAAGAGTTTTTTGTCCTGATAAAATGGAGATGAATCCCAGCTGTCCAGCACCATGTTTCTTTTATACTCTGAACTGAGGAGCTTCTTGGATGAGAAGTGAAATGGTTTTCAAAGGAGGAAACTGGGAAAGTCCAGTTGTCTTTTGAGAAGCACCTGTGGGACATTGTTGTGAACAGAAAAAAAATGTATTAATTTATATGCTGCCCAACTCCCGGTGACTTGTGACAGAGATGGGTATAGCCATGAAGTTCATTGCCTCATGGGCTTATCCCAAGTAATCATTGGCCCAACACATGGACAGAGCTAGTTATTATTTGGATCTTTTCTTTTTCTAGTTTTGGGGTTTCAGGGAAGTTGTGTTATCTGTATGTAGCTTACTTGTTGTGGTGCAGTTATGGGGCTATCTGAATATGGAGGGCAGTACCTCTACCACGTTGTGTGTCTTAATTTCTTCCTGGTCCAAATGAAATTAACTGCCACCTAAGACCTCTGCAGAACTGAAGATGACTGATGGATCTGGAGAGTTTCCAGAGGACTCTTGGGGACGTTTCCCAGTAATCTAGCAATTACCTGTTTAGCATTAGGAGGAGAATGGAGTCTAAAAGAAATTGTCCCTTAAGCAATCTCTTTCTGTAAAGTAATGGTGGGTTGCTCCTTGGATGCTCCAGGAAATGAGGTAACATAAGCAATTCCTAGAGCATTGGCGGAGGAAGAATAAAAATGAATATGACTGAACACAAGTATGGACTGTGATGATATTGCAGAGGCAATAACCGTTGTTGAAATTTAGATAGGGGCAGTGCACCGCCTGGTCCTTTCAGACCTCACAGTAGCCTTTGATACCATCAATGATGGTATCTTTCTGAAGCATCTGCCACAATTGTGGCTACTGTTTGACAAAGGTTTTGCTTCTTCAGAAGGTGGTTGTATTTGTTGGGAGGAGAAGATGAGAGATGGGCTTGGGAGGTGCTACCCTCCCTTCTTTAATATTTACATGAGGGGGGGCCATATGGAGCTTTGGGGTGAGGTATGGTCAGCTTGCTGATTATATTTAATTATACATTACCACTCTTGGCCCAGTGGGGAATGCCTGGAAGGTTTTGTCTAGAGCGGGGGTAGGCAACCTCGGCTCTAGAGGCTATCAGAGTCTGGATGAGAGAAAATGGGCTAAAATTGAACACCAGTTGCTTTTTGTCCATCACCTTCTATCATTTTCAGTAGTCTTTCTTGAAAGAGGTAGCACTACTCTTGAGAGAACAAATCTGTTACTTGGGGGGGGGGGGGCTTACAGGAAGGGTGCTTCTGGTTTTCTGTAAAAGCAAGTAGAGGTTGTGCCCAGAAGACTTTTGCCCACTCTGGCTGTTGTGACCTGGAGCAGTTGCTACAGAGAATCATTCCCTCAACATGATGCATTCCTCATGGGGTTTGAAGACCACTTAGAACCTGTAGCTGTGCAAGATGTAGAGACCTGTGTGTCACAGGTATTGAATAGTGTGTTTGTGCAACATTGGTACTGTGGGCCTTGCACTGGTTGCCAGTAGGCTTCCGGAATCAGTTCAAAAAGCTAGTTTTAACCTATAAAATTATACATGGCATAGCACCTTCAGCAGTGTCTCCTCCAATTGGATTTAACTGATCTAAGGTGCCTTTCTCAAGAGAAACTGCTAGTAGAGCTCGAAGTTGGGGTGTGGAGACATTGTTTTTACACGACAACCTGTTTCTCTGGAATGGTACCCCCTTGCAAATAAGATTGGTTTCATCAATAATAAGCTTCCAGAAGGCTAGTTGAAACTGGGTTACTCTTTGAGGCTTTGAGTGAACTGTGAGGGTTGTGTTATTTTAATTTAAGCTAATTTTAATTGCATTTTCTGTGGATATTTTCACTGTGATATTTTATAATTGTTGTGAACCTTCAAGAGCTGCAAAATGTGATTTTATATATATGTGTGTGTGTGTGTGTGTGAATGAAATGGTCTGTTTACATGTAGTTTATAATTTTCACTATAGAATTATTCAAAATGCTCAACCTACTGGGCTTGAAAAGATATTAAAAAGAATATTTAGGTTTTTTGTCCTTTCCAATTTCCCTTATTGTGTGCTTGATCAACCAAAATACTATTTGAGCTTTTCAGCAGCAGAGCAGGCTTTGTTCTTTTTAATGCAATAGCTGAATTGAGTTTGCAAGCTATATTGACTCTTCAATAAACGTATCATGTTGTTTTCTTATTTTGCTTTTATCCAAGGAGAATAAAATATAATCATTTTTTTAAATTTGCAGCTTTTTACAAGACGTAAACCTCCAAAAGGCCTTTATATCTATGGCGATGTTGGTAAGTTGAAAGATTTTAACTGAAACACGGCCAATTTTTTTTAAGCATATCTGCACACTTTCCCAGATTTATAGCTAGCTAATAAGCTAACTTTCTTTTCCAATGACAGCAATGAGATTAAATAGAACAAAGCACCCTGAGATGAGCTACTAATGACCTGTATTTAGTTTGCTTTGACATTATAGAGCAAATCAAAGCTCGGAGCAATGTCAGGTAATGAAATGGATCAAGGTAGTGTGCTTTGTGATATGGGATCCCTGGACCATGTGAGCCTTGATTGCATATGGCAGGAAGGGCACTTGTTTTGATGCCCTTGTTATGTGGAAGGGGGATGTTAGTTGAGGTGTACACTTGGTCTGACCGAAAGATGTATTTGTGACTAATCTATTTTAAAAAAGAACTGAGGCATCCTCATTTATTTTGGGGGGAATAATGCTCAGTATATTTCAGATAGAAACAATAATTGCATTTTTTTGATTTTGTTATTATATTTTAGATTCATATAATACAAATGATCCTGCCCATGTTAGTTGAAGTCTTGCATCAAAGATAATGATTTTGTACTGTTCAGATCACGATTATGATTTCATTAGCTCAATGCTAATGAACAGTCATTACTGTAATCAGTACATAGTGTTTTAAATTAACAACCTGTTGGTTATGTGTGTTTTTATTTGAAGGCACAGGAAAGACAATGGTGATGGACATATTTTATTCTCATCTACAAGTAGAAAGAAAAAAGAGAGTCCATTTCCATGGCTTCATGCTTGATGTGCACAAAAGTAAGTTTAAATCTTTCTGGTACAATACAGTATGTTACAGGTATCTTCCATGTTATCTGTCATCCTGTTTCTACTTAATTCTTTGTCTTAATTTTTTGTCTGCAAGACTGTCAATTGAAAGCCGAAAAGAAAGGAATTAACGTAGACTGTTTGGGGAAATTTTCAACTTGATTTTTCAGTTAGAATAGAGCTGTCTTGCAACACCCCAAGGAATTAATTGAGGGAAAACATTGAGGATTTGAGTAAGTAGGTTCATTTCCCTTGAGTGAGTAAGTACCAGTGGACAGTCAATCACTTATTTAATTCATTTGTACTTATTTGCATGATTAAAAATTCAGAGCAGCTGCTGGAATGTGGTGATATGTGCTCTTGCCACAATTATATAGAGGGATTGAACAATATTGTGAAAATACCTAAACCTTTTACAATAGTCCACTGCAAGTGAAGAGTGAACTTGTGTTATAATATATTTGTTGATCTTTCAGTTGCCATAAGGCCCTGCTTTAAAAGTTGAATAGCAAAAAGATGAAATGTCAAGTTGAAGGTGGAACAGGATAGAAAAAAGTAACTGATTTCCACCAACTGCTGTAGGTACACACACACACACATACACACACACACACACACAGAGAGAGAGAGAGAGAGAGAGAGAGAGAGAGGACTAGAACTCTCATTGTGGACTAGTGGCTGAATTTTTGTGATATCAAAGAATATTTCCATTCTACCTATATTATATCAGCATTTGTGATCCTAAACAAGGGAAAAGTTAGCATGGGCCAAAACATGTACTCGTCCTTCTCAGTGCCAGAAAAAAAAACTTTTCCATAATGAACTCTCCAGTAAACTTCCTCTTTGCAAATATACACCTTTTTGCCTAATGCACAGTATAGTAAATGAAATAGATGGTACAATGTATACGTTGTTCACTTATTTAGAAACTACAGGTGAAGATTTAGTTATCTATTTTAATATACAACGATCTTCTATTTTCCATTATATTAACATTTAGTCTTTAAAGCTTCCTAGTCTTTTGTCAGATTTCTCTGTTTCTCCTTTATTTCCTTGTTCTCATTTCTTTATATTTGCTCTAGTCTGTGAACTTACATTTGTTTCTCAATAGTATACAGCAATATCAACATAGACAATGTGCTTTTTATATATAGTTATATAGAGAAGGAAGACAAACTGAATCATATGCGTTGTTGGGTATTATCTTGACCACCTTTATGATATTCTGTATACTGTATATTGCAAAGAGGCAAAAAGCTGACGGATGTCGCATGAATCAAAGATGCCCACTGGAGGGGAGGATGCTTGTAGTTGTCATTGTTTTTCTAAAAATTGAAAGAATGGAATTAGCACAGAATTACTATGTCAAAACGTACTTCTGTTAACATGTAAATATAATCTTTGCTTTGAGTCTATTTCCAACATGTTTACTAAGTATCTTGCAAAATGTTCACTTCAGGAATACATTGCCTTAAACAGAGTCTGCCAAAACGAACAGCTGGATTAATGGCTAAATCATATGATCCAATAGCTCCTATAGCTGATGAAATAAGTGAGGAAGCTGGTCTCTTGTGTTTTGATGAATTTCAGGTAAGTAAGAATATAATATAAGAGATTTACATTCTTCTTTTCCTGGGGAAAAACATGTCTGATAGCAATATTCTGTACTGCTGTTAACTTTCTAGGCTGTAGGTGTTTTTTATATTTTCTCATTGAAGCATTTATTTACTCATATGCTTGGACAAGCAAAATTTGTCACAGTTAATATGATCTTGAATACATGAAATTTTAGATGCATGTAGCTGGGTATTGTTATATCAGTGCTATCTGCTAAACTGGAATCTTTTTTTGAAAATACACAGTCTGGTTTATATTACACTTACATTCAATTCTAAAATGTTATTTAATCATACATTCTGCACACACAACATATATATTGTACATCTAAATAAGTGTGTCTGTGTATTATTAGTATGTGGATGTATTGTATTTCTATGCATACACATACATATGAACATACAAATATATATATGCATACATACATACACCATTCATATTAAGACTTGTCCAATTGAGTCTTTGCTTTAATCATATATTTTGGAAATATTTGAGCTTCTACCACCCATACCCACGTTCTCGTAGATTATGGCCTATGTTGCTCCAACTTAAAATTGTCAGTGTAAGCAAAGATTTAATATGTACATGTTACCTTCTCAATAGTCAAAACTTCCAACTAGACATTCATAGGTTATTTATTTATATTATTTTAACTTGTTTTCTTTTAAAAATAAAATAGGTTAATTAAATCCTACAAGATCTAGAAATTAAAATCATAAAGCAGCACCCATTGTAACACATCCTCATGTCCTGGACTCAGATATATTAATGTCCCAGTTTTGGCAAATGCTTGGATTAGTCCCAGCTCTAGAAGTAGTTTGCTATTGTCTCCTTCCTAAGGTTAAGACTGGTTCAAGGTCACCCAGCTGGTTTTTTTCCCTAAAGTGGGACTAGAACTCACAGTTTCCTAGTTTCTATACCAAACCGATTCTCTTCTTTTAACATTGCCGTTAAAATGTGACATCCAATATTTTGATTTTCTTAGTGTCTCAGTTATTATGGACAGTACTGATATTACTTTGTAATTTCCTTGCATCGCAGTCACAGAACTGTATATAGATTATTTTTGGAAGGAGAACAAAATAGCTATGCTTGGAGCAGTGAATGTATTTCTGAATTGAAGTGCATTCTTTTTTTCTGGGCTTAATGAAGCAATTTCATTTCATAACTTCCTTATTCCACAAAGTCCTTTTTTATCCCGTGGGTGCATATTTATGCTTTAAAGCTGAAAACAGGATTTTCTGCGATTTTTAGTTGACAGAAGAACGCTATATAGTTGTCATCCAAATTGGTTTCAGTTTTGGAAGTTTAAGAATCCCAGATCAGCGCTTCCTTTTTGTTGATTGGACATAGTCATGGGGAATCTTGCCACTTCCGTTCTATGATATATCTATATATTATATATATATATATATATATTCTACTTGGCATGTGAAAATTCACACCTGGGTTAATAGTAATCAAAGTGGCACAAGGCAATCAAATGTGTTTGTTTCCTGACAGGTGATAAATCTGTTGAGGAGTTCATCATTAAAGTCCTTATAATCCCATTGTGTCCCTAGCATATTCTGCTACTGAGCTTCAGGCCACTTGTAAATGACCAGTAGAGAATAGGGAATATGATAAGTAGCTTGAATTAGCCAAAAGTAAATTACACCAGTCTAGCCTAATTTCCCCCTTTGATACAAAACTGGCATAGTGGGCTATGGAGATGTAGTATCTGTAATATACCTTGACTTTAAGCCTTGGATATTGTTGAATAGGTAACTGAGGTAAGCTTTAGAGTGAATAGCCTGTGTATATTAATGGACTATCACAAAAATGAAATTTAATGAAACGCGGTTTTAATGAATTACCTAGATGAGTAGATATTTCAAAGGTAGTGATGGTAGATCTGAATTTTGGGTAAACTATACTAATAACAGAAACAACATTTGATTTCTATTATACAAAAATCTATTATAAGAAATATATGAGCAAAATATTTCATGGTGTACTTAACAAATGCAAAGCTAAAAAATAATTTATGCCACAATGCCTATCAAGATTCATTGTCTGATTTTAAAATAGCTTTTCTCTCACGTTTTTTTTGGAGGTGAAAATTTGAAATCTAGACTTTACCGTAAATTTCCCTTTGGTATCCACCATATTTTTATCACTTTTATTTATAGTTGAATTTACTTTAGAAGAAACTCCTTGTTTAGTCCTTTTTTCCCATGTCCAAGACAATTATTGCTACAAAATTCTTAGCGTGCTTTGCCTCTTTTCATTTTACCCATCCCTTGCCTTCTTTTACTACTTTCTTACAACAATGATTTTATCACACTACACATTGTAGAACCTCCCTCATCGTTTTAGCATTAACTCTTCTGTGTATTTTTCTCATCCACGGCATCTTTCATTCCTCATCCTTACACCCTGCATTTTTTTTATACTTTCTATTAATTTAAATCCAGACACTTCTGTGGCACTCTGTAACACAATTCTTTTAACTTTATTTCCTTTTGTTCACTTCCCATTCATTTTGTTGCTAAATTAATCTATCTCCTTATACTTTTTTTCCATAAAACATTCAAACAGTCTCTTCTAGTTCCTCAGCTTAACACAGCTCAGCTCAACTCTCCTTCCCTCGCCTCCCCTCCCCTCCACCACATGTCTCACATTCAGAACCTGATCGTGGAGTTCACCAAAGAATACTACTTACATCTCTGAATGGCCCAATCGTTTTACTTTCCCATCTCATTTTCATCCACTATTCACGTTACCCAACAAAATAATTTTTCCACTAAATCGCACTTCACTCAGACTATTGCACATTTTTTCCTAGAACTTATCCCTATTTTTCCCTTATCAACTTTTATTGGAGTGTAAGTTCCAACTACTGACAACCTAGGGTTTCCTACTTTTATATACATTCACCTCGATTTACATCACGTTAATTCATTCTTCAAATATATACAATTTAGCCCTTTCATTCATAATTAAATACACCCTTAACTTCTTTGAATGTATTCATAAACTTCACTTTCAAAGAACAGACCACCTTTACTCAAACCTATTACTGTATGTTCTTTATTTTCCTCATAGTTTCACAGACACGCAATGCATCTATTTCTTCTATTCTTTTAATATATAGAACAGTAGATTCCTGTCCTAGGAACTGAAGCTTCATTAACCTTTGCATTATTTAAAAGTAGCACCAGATGTAACTCTGCTGTTCTGTATTCCCACTCATGCCATATTCTGTGCTTCAAAGTTGAATAGCTGTGGAGCATTGCATCACTTTTCAGATTCTGCAGCCCAGCAAACTAGCATTTTCGTGACACTTTCCTTTCACTGGTGTAAGAACAAACCACGATGCTTCACTTTCCATAGTTCAGGTATTTGTTGCTGAATATTGGTGAGACATTCTGAAAATGCACTAAAAGCAGTACAGTATTTATTTACTGGTTTGCTACGTTTTATGAAACCGTTGGTAACTTTGTTAAGCCTGGCTTCCGTTTATGATATTAGGTGGTTCAAACATAGAAAAAAATGAGACCTGCTGCGGATTTCTTCTTAAACTTTATCCTTTGCCAAGTCTGGAGCCTTGAGTTTGCTTGGGCTGAAGACAATCGTAAAGTGTCTAGAGTAAAGTGATAATGCCAATAGTTAGTCCAAAAATACTTGCCCCTTTCTAAGGTGCTTTGTTTCCAAAGACAACTGGACAAGAAAATCCAGTTGCCTTTTGAAAGAAAGCACTTTTGGGACAACCATGACTTGGATGACTGAAAATCTCCATAGACACTTGCCCCATTATATACAAATGTGACTGACTGGTGCTTTTGGTATCACACCCCCCCACCTCTCTCTCTCTCTCTCTCTCTCTCTCTCTCTCTCTCTCTAACAGTTGCATTAAAAGAAACACTTTAAAGAAACAAAAAGAAGAACAAATTCTTAGTTTAGCACATGAGATCCTTTAAAGAAACAAAAAGAAGAACAAATTCTTATTTAGCGCATGAAATCCCCCATGGGCACTTTTCAAGATAAAATGGCACACACCCTTCCTGCAAGGTAGTGGGGGCTAATGGCTGTGCCAACCTTCAGTTCACACTAGGCACATCTGTCATTTCAGAGGTGAAACTGAGGAAATCAAACTCATCCGGCAGCTTATGGACCAGCTGTGAGTCCTCCTTTTGGTTACACTGCCTTCGTCTGATGTCACGTTCTATATCTCTACTTTAAAAAAAACAATGACAGGCATTTCAGACATGAAATAGCTTTATTTTCATATAAATAGCACGAAAAGAGTGGTTAGGTTTGGAATCCAGGATGCTTGTAAATAGTAAATTAACATTGTTGTATACTGTAGGCAGTGCTTGTAAGAAAAGCGAAGAGAACAATTTTAACTACTTAGTAGGAGCAAGTTTCATTAAATGCAGGGGGACCTCTGAGTAAAACATGTCTTAAGATTGCACTGTTACACTCCTGTTTTTGTGATAACACTAATTATTACCTATACATACTTATATTTACTATTCATCCCAAGAAATCGTACCAATCAGAGGAAAACTGAGGTTCAAGTACTTAGACACACACCTTATTTAGATTTTTTTAAAAAAAAAACTTATGTGAGAAGAAAGCAGCTCTGGGTCATACAAATCTTTCCTCTTAAATGCAAATGAAATTTCACCATTCTCTCCATTCTCACACATCTCTTATTGGTAATTTGTATTCTTTTCTTTTGTTCACATCCATCCTTTTGCTCAGCATCCATTCCCACTGAATGCTGAGCACAGGCAGAACCTAAGCTTTGAGATGCTTTAACTTTTGTCTTTCTCCCAAAGCTACAGAGGATCAAAAGGACATAAATTGGCATTCCATATACCAAATGACTCTTGCTTTTTTAATTATGTAACTTAAAAAAATAATCAGTTTTGGCAGACAAGTAGATTTAAAATTTTGCAAGAGCAAAACACCAACTATATCCTCATTGTGTTTTCTCTGGTCATAAATCTTTCTCTGTTTAATGTTCCAAGCTGCTATGCTTTATCGGAAGTTTTCCTTTGGGAAATTAAATATGTTCTGTTGCGTATCGTTTTCTATTTCTCAAGTAGAAGACTCCTTTTTCTTCTTCCTGTCTCATTTTCCCTGTTTCAGAGGTCTCATCAAAATGGATACTTGCTTTTAGCTACCTAAAGCCTTTCCGATTTTGTTTTGTTTCTTATTGACAGGCTCAAGGGTGCCAAGTTTTGATTTGTTAGATAGTACTTTTCTTCAGTGCCTCTCTATACTTGCAGTTATCTGCCTGCTCATTCTAAGAAAATAGTCAAGGCCAACTACCTAAAGCAGGGGTATCAAACTGCCAGCCCACGGGCCGGATGCGTCACGCCAAAACCGTGCCCACCCCATTGCCGGTAATGGGAAAAAAGTCATGATACGTCGCAGCACGTCACGTGACGTCGCGAGTTTGACACCCGTGACCTAAAAAATGTATAACTTAATTTAGCTACAGCAGTTTCCAAAGGCAGAAGCATAAAACAACACTATGTGTGGAAGTCTCCTAGGTTCAGGGTGTGAATAGTTGTGAGGTTTGGGTGGGAATGTTTTTTCCTCAGCCTGTTTTATCATGTTCCTTTTTTATATTAGTAGTATTCCTCTGTTTTGAATTTACATATTTAAGTGAAGTTCTGCACATAATAAAATTAGTATCTTTAGCACAGCTGTAATAATTTGATGAACAATTAGTGGGGAAGTGAAAATCCTCAGACAAAAGTTTTTTGTTTTTTGTTTTGGTCATGAATTGTTGCTCCCCTTCTTCGTTTAAGAGAGTGTGTGCGTGTCTCTGTGTGAGAGAGAATGATTTATGTCTGTGAAGGTTAGAAGAGGCTGACTGAGCTGGAACTGACTGCAGTGCCTTTTTGATTATTCATGGACAGTAATAGAAGGCACTTAAAAAGAACAATGAAATTGCTTATTTTTTTGTGATGGGCCATCTGTTGAATTGTTTTGTGTAACAATCGCACAATAGTATCTATGTCATATCATTCTATTTTCAACAGCAGCTGATGATGTATACTTGGCCACTTGTCCTATTTTCTAAAAGTCCCATGACCATTTAAAGTCACCTCTGTGAACCTTTTCTGGAAAGGTAATAGAAACGTAGAGCAGCTGGTGTGTATTTTCTTTTTCTGATCTTCTGGCAGGTTTGTGTATTTGTGTGTGTTTCAGACTAATGAGCTTTTTAAATCTTAAATCTCTTTTTTCCCCCCCAACCGGAGTTTTAGAATGGAAGTTAACCAGAATTGTTTTGCAGTCTGGAATAAAGACTTGTCTTGAGAAAAGATTGCTACATACTCCCTGCTTATTATTTCCTGTCCCTCCCACATTTTTTCTGCAAGTGGCAATGTAGAATCTTTTGCCTTTGAACCCACAAACCTCTCTTCTGACTAAAAACAAGACCAAAAAAAACCCCCCAAACCTCAAAGCAAATTGGATGCAGCTTTGTCGATTGTACAAGTCAAGATCTGCTTTTGACAATAATAGTGTTGTCTTCTTCAGGTCACAGATATTGCTGATGCTATGATTCTCAAACAGCTTTTTGAAAACCTGTTCCGAAACGGTGTCATCGTTGTAGCCACATCAAACAGGCCACCAGAAGGTAATCATGAATAATATGCCGATCCTGGCTTTTTCAACGAAAGTACAGTTAGGATATCTTAAATTGTACATGGGATCTGTTTCTGATTAGCATCCATCTCTTTTACCATGTTTGCGCTTTTAAGTATTAATCTTAAGACCTAATTCTATGTCATACATTAAATTCTTTCTTGGTTTCTATTAAAAGTCATAAAAATAAATGATATTAATATGCATTGAGTGGGATCTAAAGAGATCAGTTATGGATAGAAGAACTGCCGTCTCAGAAAGATGCTTTCTGTTAGCACAGTTCTCCTTTTCTGAACAACAGTCCCTTCAGTTCCTGGAGTAATCAAGGGTAGATCCAACTACTCCTTTCTTAAAGCATTGAAGAAGCAATTGCCTCTTGAAACAAAAAGGTAAGAAATAGAAGTAGCGGGCAGAGAAGTTACAGGAACAGAGTTAGTAGTATGTAGCTTCTCCCTGTACGAAGGGGGAGGGAAAGCGTGTATTTCCCCTAACTCCTTAAAGACAGATGGAATAAAAATATAATTAATATAAAATAGGAAAAAGTAAATTATGCTAGAAAAACAGCACAGAGAATGCAAAGTATTGTTGAATATTTAATTTGAAGTAAATAATATTTATTCCAAAGCAAGTACACAGAAAGACACAAAATGTGTGGGTATTTATATATTTATTTAGGTATGTTTTGTAAGTTGCCTCAGATCACAGATATAAGCTACTTGGGCAATTCACAATACTAGCCAGTGAGAATGCAAGAGGCAATAATAACAGAATCCATTCACCACTTAAGCATTTTGTATTTTTTTCATTCAGGATTATACTTCCAGAGGTCCTCAACTTTTGCAGCTTGGCATCCTGGCTGGGGAGAGAGAGGGGAACCAGACCATGTGAGTGGTGGGCCAGTGTGTACACACATGCATGCACAGCTCAACTTGTGCAAGTTGAGCCGTGTGCTTGTGCACACACATGCTGGCCCACTGCTCATGCAAGTTGAGCTGTGTGCATGCGTGCCAGCCCACTGCTTGCATGGCCCGGTTCCAAATAGGCCACGGCCTGGTACCTGGCCATGGACTGTGGGTTGGGGACCCCTGGTCTAGTCCAGTTCATGAAAGATTATACCGTAACATATTGTTTAATGTTTAAGATGGCACAAAACTATAATCTTAAAATAGTGTCCTGATGGCTGGGATGGGAACCTGGACCTTTCAAATATTACTAAAATAGTATTTCCAGCATACAGATAGTTCTTGGTTAACAACCATTCATCCAACTACAGTTTGCAGTTATAACGGTGCTGAATGAGTGGTGGCTATGACCAGTCTTCGAAGTTCCAGCCATCCCAGAACCCCTGCAGTCATGTGATTGCAGTTTGGATGCTTGGCAATCAGCTGTCACGATGGTTGCAGCATCCTGTGGTCACATGATCACCATTTGTTGACCTTCTCTTGTCAACTTCAATGAGCCCCACAATCCTGGGAATCTCATGCATCTGTCCACACTCCGTCATGCAAATGTGGCTGGCCTGTTACGCTTGTGCAGTGCCGCAGAACCCACCTGTGCCCTCTCCTCCACCTGGAAGTAGCCATCTCTGTGCTCATGCTGCACTGATCATCTGCGCACCATCCCATGCCCAGTAGCAGTGACCCCTCCCCGTCCCCACCTGGCCATGCCTGTACCGTGACCTGCACTTAGCTGTCTGCTGATCTGCTTGCAAGCCACCCTGGAATTGTGACTTCTGCTAGCTTTCCCATTGATTTTGCTCATTGGAAGCCAGCAGATCCTCTCATGACTCGCGATCCTTGCTTAACAATGGCAATGAAGAGTGCTGAGATGGCTTTCACTAAGTGGTATGGTTATGTGATGTCACACTTTACAATTGCATTGCTTAGTAATGGAAATTCTGGTCCCAGTTACCATTGTTAAGTGAGTACTACCTATACCTTAGTTTTGATCTTGCTGATTCGGGTTGGTGGAATCTGAAGGGCTTGGCCCTGAACCAGTGGAACAACCTGCCTCCAGAAGTGGTGAATGCTCCAACACTGGAAGTTTTTAAGAACAGACTGGACAGCCATTTGTCTGAAATGGTATAGGGTTTCCTGCCTGAGCAGGGGGTTGGACTAGATGACCTCCAAGGTCCCTTCCAACTTTACTATTACTATTATTACTATTACTATTACTATTACTATTACTATTATTATTGCTAAGCCAACTGCTAGTGCTAAATATATTTGTAAGTCAACAGCTGCTACAGATCATTGGTTGGAATGAAAACCCTGCTGGCCAAATAGATATTATGTAGTATGTTATTCTGCCTTTTTTATAGCTATATAGTTGTACTATCTTAATTAGATCTGTTTCAAAATCTTAGAAATATTTGCATTTACATTTATATGCCATTTTTAAAAGCATAGTTTAGTAATTGAGTCCAGTCATTAAAATAAAATGATGTGTTATCTTCATCAAACTGTAGTAAGAATTATAACATATGTATAATTATACACATTGAATTGTGCTTTGAACATAAGCAGGGATCAGATTAGTTGCTAAAGAATTGGTGTACAGTAATTGTGACTCTAGTATTTCGTTTCTGCCAAGTGACAATACTGCTCTACGTGCTACTAAAACCTGTGCGTGAAACCGTGCATCACAGGGCAAAACTTTTCAACCAAGACACCTCAAATGGGCTTGCTTACAGAGTGTGTCCAAAATCTGGGACCCATGACTCCCACGGAATTGAAATTTGATAAATTAAAAAAAATGACATAAAAGACTTGCTTTCTGAATGCCGAAGATTGTGCTATTACAATGCTGCCTGCCATTTTAATTACTTATTTGTTTGTAGCATTTTTGCAAAAAAAGTGCTACAAAATAGGTAATGATAAAAATGTACAGCAAATACAATTGCATTTTCTATTTTTTTTAAGAAAATTTGTTGCTGTGAATTTTGTGGAAACAATAACTTTAATTTTCTTGTATGTTCCATTATCTCCCTATCAATCTCTGATACGTTTATAATATTAGCAATTGTATTCAAGTGGATATAATACTTCTGCTGTCAATTGCATCATTTTTAGATAGGAGTGAAATTAATAATGTATTTTTTCTCTTTTTGGTTCTTGAACATAAGCAATATAATAGAGAATTTTGGGAAAAGGACACAGCAATGGTAATACAATATGTTTTCTTTCAGATCTCTATAAAAACGGGCTTCAGAGAGTTAACTTTGTGCCATTCATTGCTGTACTAAAGGTAATAAATATTTTTTTAAAAAAATATTTTTTAAAAAGTTATTAAGCATTGGGGAAGCAAGCAGAAGAAGGAATAAAAAGTAAAATATAGAGAAATAAATGAGGAGCTATAATAGAGATAAAATTTTCAAGTATAATATTACTACTAAATAATTGTATGTATTATATCACTTTAGCAGAGTAAAAATCACTATTAAACTTTAAACCAAAAATAAATATCAAGAATTTTGATCCACTCAGTATGAATTATAATTTCAATCCATTTTACTAAATATTTGTTCTATGTTTGATATCCTACAAAACCAAAATATAAATTCATACATTGAGAAATCCACATTTTTGATGTGATATAAATCTGGGTATTACTTTTAAAATGGGAACGTTAATTTAGACATCAATGTGTATTTCCATAACTTAGTAAGCCATTCTTCCTTTGAAGGGATCATCAGATGATCTTTCTGGTAAAAGTAATATAATACCCTCGAAGCATTTATTTTTTATTAACGTGGCTTTGTTTTTGCTTTCTCATTTTTTTGTTGGAGAACTACCTTTTAAAAAATTCCCATGGTGAATATGGTCCCTTGAATCCATGTTTTCTTGTTAAATCCAAAAGAAGCAAGGGGGAAAGAATTTATGTAACTATGGGGTTGGTTTGATGCATGGCTAGATTGTGGCTTCCCAAATTTCATTGGCTACAGCAGAAACAGCTACAGATTAGTTCTCAACTTACAACCATTTGTTTTAGTGACTGTTCTAAGTTACAGTGGCATTGAAACAAGTGACTTACGACTATTTTAAACATTTATGACCATTGCAGCATTCCCGTGGTCATGTGATCAAAATCTGGAAGCTTGGCAACTGGCATGTATTTATGATGGTTGCAGTATCCTGGTGTCATGTGATCATCTTTTGAGACCTTCTGACAAGCAAAGTCAGTGGGGAAGCCAGATTCATTTAACAACAATGTTGCTAACTTAATAACTGCAATGATTCACTTAACAACTGTGGCAAGAAAGGTAAAATGGAGCAAAACTCACTTCACAATGGAAATTTGGGGCTCAGTTGTGATTGCAAGTCAAGAACTACCTATATTCAGTTCCAATTCATTTAAATAAGGCCTCATAAAAATTCAGTGTAAACTCAACAGGGACTCACGGAGGTGTAAGAGACCTTGCATTGGATTCTTTTGTTACTGATTGCTGGTACCTATTATAATAATCTAGTCTTTCAGTATGGTATGGGAAAATTGGGGTTTTTTCTCCACCTCTGATATTCAGTAATGTGCCTATTACTGAATATGCACTTCTTTTATTTTAACTTTGATGAGATAGGAATCATTGAAATATGTATATATTTTATATCTATATCTATGTATGTATGTATGTATATGTATAAGTGTATGTGTATGTATGTGTGTATGTATATATGTATATGTAGGAAGTTTTTCAGACAGACCGGTCTGATTGATTACACCTTGACATTTTAACTGCTATACTGCAGTTTTACTTTTTACAATATCTTTTGCCATGCAGCCCCCCAACTAGGGGCGTTAAGCAGGCTCAAGCAGGAAATGGTTACATTTATATATTTAAATCCTTTCTTTGAAAATTACTGAGATTTTAAAATGCTTTATTTGGTTGGATCATGTCCATATAAAATAAGAGATTAAAGGGATAATATTTTTAAATAAGTACATAGCTTTTCATACAGTCAAAGTAATCAGCAGCAAATGATTTCTATGGAAGATATAAATTCATGAAATCGCTTAGAAAATACTAAAGTCTGCAAACATGCAACCACTTTTGTATTGCTGAAATCAGTGGGGCATCTTTTTTCTGAGTTAACATATTATGTTAATTGTCATCTTTCATTTGTGGGACCCAAAGAAACTATCTCTGGTTTTTTTTCCTTTAAATTTCATGTTTTGTGGTCTGTATAGTGACCTAATTTCACTTGAGCTCTGTCTATTCTTGAACTTCTACATCTCTTATTGTCATTTAAGTAGTAGCAATGCAGCTGCACCTTTCCCTGGAAATCAGTGTTATGAAACTTGTCTTTGAATAAATCTTAGATTAGGTTATTGGCTTGTTTGCAACAGTGCTGGCTTTATCCTTATTAAATTATTATTTTTGTAGTCTCAAACTTGTAAGTGATAGTAAAGTCTATTTAACTACTATTCTGTTGGGTCAAGAATGGTTCTTTCTACACAGCCTGGCAAATTCTGAGCCATTTAAAAGCAAAATGGCATCTTTTAGCACCAGTGAGAAAATATAAAATGTTTCTGATTATGTGTTCTGCCTTTGTCAGGCCACCTGTGTAAGTCTGAACAAATTTGTTTCTTCTGATTTCTTTTAAAAAGTCATTCTGGTGATTAAACTGATTTGTCAGTTAATTCTGTTCTAAGGCGGCGATAGTCTAGTAGCTTTCAGTCCACTGAATAGTTTAAAGTTGCTTTTGTGGTCAGTGTCAGCACCCTGACCTCTGCTAAGCTGTCACCTGAGTCAGAATTCCTGGGATTAAGTCTTTGATATTGTGATGTCTTCACTTATCTATTGACTTTTTCAGTGCTGAAGATGTTAGGCCTTTTGATTTCTTTCTTAGTGAGAAGCCAAGCAAGTGTTCAATAGAAGTCTTTCTTTCCCAAGCTGTGGCAGTTGTAGACTCTGTCTTTCTCTTTTCTCTGTATTAATTAAATGGATTACTTTTGGGATATATAATGCAGTTCCGTTGTTGGGAATCACTGGGCTTAATATAATAATAAAAAAGAGGCTCTGTGTGTCTATACACATGCAGGCATAGACTCATGAATATAATAAAATGCCAGGATAGGTTATGACTTAGATCCACGATCACTACATAGCCTGTTCTGTGACTGCTTTTAATGTGATCTCATCTTAAGCATTTTGTTTGAAAGCATCTATGCTTTAGCCTACAAAATCAGAACTCAAGTCTTTCATTTGCTCCTCTAAAAGGTTTCCTATAGAAGGGGAATCAAGAGCACGCTGAATGCGTTTATTCGTTTTGTCTCTTTCAGAACCACGACACAAATTAAATATTCAAGAACCAGGCAACAGTTTTTAAAACATTTGGATGAAATGAAGTTATTTTGAAACGATAGAAAAGTAAATTGTGTGCGTATGTTAGCGCCAATTATTTTTCCCGGGTCATTGTTTGGCCGTTCTTCATTTTTTTCAAAACAAATTGTCACCTAATGTTAAAATAATTGCAGCAAACTCTTACATTCTCTTCCCTTTTTATTTTAATATTAATGACTCATTTAATCCTTCTTCAGCAAATTAACTCTTTGGTTCAAACAAGTTACTCACATTTTGGAACAGCTACCTAATGGTGTTTTCTTCAGGTATTGGGATGTGTTTGCTTAATTAGCATATGGCACTTTTCTTTGCTTGTAGTACAATGTGAAATAAAGCTGATCCCCCATTTTTCTGGGCGGCCCATTCCCCAAAGTCTCAGCCAGTTAATAAAGTTTGTAAGGGCTTTATCACAGGCTCTAGGAAGGTCCACAGAGAAGAATATTAATCCAATAAACATTTCATTCAGCTCATGAAAAGAAAGCATCAGGAGAAGAGAAGCTTCTGGAGAAGAAAAGCACGCCCCTGACAATTTTCTTCATGCAGAATTGTTAAGAAATTTGCCAGATTAAGGAGAAAGTCTTCAAATTTAGCAGCTAAATTGCGTCCAGAATAATGGGAATAGTTTGAACCTTACATGGTGAATATTCTAAAAAGCCACAACTGTTTTCTTCAAAGGCTTACTGTGGAGCTGGATGGACAGGGCAAGAGGGAGGTTGTGAGAAACCCAAATAGCAAATAACGGTGGTTGAAAGTTGAGGGAAGGGTGGGAGAAGGAATAGATAATTAGGTACAATTAGTGTGTATGAATTGTTGTCTCCCTGCCCTTGGCTTGAATAAATTTGGAAGGAACAAATCCAAGTGGCAAAACTGCTTTGATGTAAGAGGAGTCATTGTGGCTTGGCAGCATAAAGGCAGTGTTTTATACTTCTTTCATAATGGTTGTGATACAGAAAGGCTGAATGCACTGTGCACCCCCCCCAGCACCCCCGCCCCCCCAGTCTGCTTTACAGCAAGGACTTTTGGATTCCCTTGAAACAAAATGCAGCAGAAGTTTTCAGTTGCGGGTAATGAGGTACTGGACCTCATCAGAGTTAGGCATAAGCCATCCTTAGCCTTTGCATAGATCTTAATCACTTTTTTATTGTGGGAAAGCTAGTTTCCAAAATCAACACGTCTTTCTTCATTTTTTTTTTCCACCCTTCCTATTTGAAACTTCGGCGAAAGGAAAGACTAATGCAGAAAAGTGCAAATCCGTGTTTAAAGAGTGGCAATCTAGTGAGCATATTTCATTCTAAGTAGAAGTACCTCAGAATAGTATATTTACATACCTGTATTTATATCTTTTAATGCCTGCCGGTTTTATTCTAACGTATGCTGTTGACCGTATTCACTTCTAGTTATTTGAATAATGTTAAGAAATCTGAAAACAGATTTGTATTTGCTTCTTGTGTGAAAAATGTGAATGCTTTTATGGATAATTCAAAATATCCCATCAAAGATCAAGAATTGATTTACATGTTGTATCTGAACAAAAAGAAGTCCCAAGAAGCCTTGAAAAAAACAAACTACCTTATAGTTGCACTTTTTATTTTTTACATTGCAAATTTTACAATTTATGTCAATATATTAATTGCTACTAGAGTCTTGGATATGCTTCTATGTAGGAACAATTAGCGAAGTATCCAATTTGAATTAGAAACTAATTCAGAAGCTAAATGTATTCAGCTGAGATTCCAGAGAACAATACTGTTTTGTAAAAGAAACCTTTTTCATTCTGTACAGATCCGTATTATTTTAATATATAAGGAATAAATAAACCAATGGTTTAAACAATAGTTCAAGCAATTTGAAAACTTTCTGCAAATCTCAAAAGAAATGCTAATATGATTTAATTAGCCATAAAGGGCTCAATCTTTTTCATTTTGTCATCAAACTCTGCAAGTTAGAAAATGGAATCACCAGCTTGCTGTGTATCTTTCTTAGCTCAAAGATTTAATCCATTTGGGATGTCTTTTTAGATTTCTGATATTCAAAAATATAGAATTAAACAGTTACGTTAAGGAATGCCATGAGTTTTTCAGCAGGAGCTTGCCATGCTTTAGAGTTGCTGTTATTAGGAAAAGGAAATGAGTGTTTAATTTAACCCTTTGAGGGCTTATTATATAGAACAAGTAGCCTTTTGTACTTGAAGTTGTACATTCTGAAAAAAGCAACACCTGAATATCTCTGAAGCTTGAATAATTATGCCCAATTGTGTTTTTGCTGGTATAGGTCACAGGAAATTCACTTGGGGTAGAGTCTCTACAAAGCTAAGATATATGCAGATTTTCTGTTGTTGGATTGTGTAAAAATTATTTACTGTTAATACTTGCATAAAGGTTAGAAAGGTTGATGAAGTGATATTTAGTATTGCTTTACTATTCACTGTGTGTCAGGATGTAATTATGACTGATTCATAGAACTGTCTTAGGAACGAACCATCTTTATTAAAATGCTGATCAAGATAAGAGCTGACAGTAATAAAGAATAGAACATTTTAGTCTTGTTGCTTTTCAGTGATTGCTAATTACCCTAGAGGTCATGTATAGTGCCTGGGAGGATTCATTGACATTATTTTCTTTTAAGTCTGCTGTTTGAACAACATCAGAACATGAAGACAAAGACTAAGTGCACATTGAACAATAGTTTGACCAAGTTTTTTATTTCACAAAATGCTGGATGATTCTTCTTTTTCTGTTTTTGTTACAGAGATGTATGTTCTCCTGAGAAAGGAAAGATCTTTATTTTAAAGAACTTTTACCTTAATTATATCCATCACAGTCATCACAAGGTCAAACATATAAGTAGGAAACAATATATTGCTACTCTCCTATTGTTTGTTATGAGCAAAGCATAACATAATCTTTTTCCTGTGACTTTGGTTATCACATAAATCAGAATTTTTGGTCTCTTGATTAGATTAAATGATGCATTTACCTTCCAACATACACTCAAGCTGAGCCCTTTTTTTGCACAGCATACGCTATGTGTAGAAGTGTGTGATCACCAGTTGTATTTTAAGTCCAAAAGAAAGGGAAGAATTAAGAAAGATTCTCAGGAGTTATATTAACTGATAAAAGATATGAAGGACAGACAATGAGGCAAACAGTGGATTAGATTAGCTAGCACAAAAATGAAGGGAAAAGGAAGGAATCAACTGGATCCAGAGTCTTATTGCACTGTGAAAATCATCCTACTTAATAGTTTACTCAGAATGTACTACTTAGTGAAAGAGAGGGAGGAACAGTATTTGCAAGTCCCACTTCCTTCAGCAGTCCTCCATTCCAAGGCTTACCTGATTTAAACAATTCTAGTGATAGAAGGAACTTTTTTGTTTGCAACAGAATTTTGTTGGATTTTATCCAATTTGGTCAGAAATACTTAAAACTCAGGAAGTATAATTGGATATGGTTTGAACTAGCTTATTTGAATGTTTATATGTTATTTGTATACAATAAGCCATATTCAAGACAGTGTATAGTGTCAGAACAGAACATTAACAAAATAAACAGATTTTTCTCTACCCCAAACTATACTAAGAATCTGGGAATGATTGGTTATCGGAGGAAAATTTATCTCTTGACAATCATATGGCCATTAACTTTCAGTCACTTACCAGTCAAAGAACATTAATAAAAAATACTTTTTTCAGGATTTCCCCTGTTCCAGAAATCTAGCTGCTGAAGCAAAAATGAGGTATCTCTGAACTCTAGGTCTAATCCAGCCATCAAGCTGACCCTTTATAAGGCCCATTAAATCTTTTCTAAAATCATATAAAAATAATTGCACTCAAGATACTTTCAAGAGCACAACCTTATAACTAGAGCTACAACAGTGAATCCTGGGAATTTGAACAAGAATTTCTTAAATAACAGCCCTTTATAATATAAAAATCAAACACATTTAAAATTTAATAGCGATTTGAATCACAATATCTTTTCTAGCGCTTGTACTGTATTGTATGTAAATTGTTACCAAAGTTTCTGAAACCAATGTCTTGCTCTCTCTTGTTGTATATTTTCATCCATTTTAATCTATAGTGTTGGTACATTATACAAACTATAATCATGGGTAGTTTGGCAACTCCTCAATGGAAATAGTTTTCTCTACAGTAAAGTGGAGACAAGGAAGAGGAAGTGGCATCATAGGAGCCTCAGATGCCCATCTACATCAATAGGATTTTCATGCATTGCCATTTCTTTAGATTAGCTCCCAAAATGCTGTTTTCCCAACCAAAACCCAAACTATACTTGTTGGCTTACAGGGCAGTAAATTCAGTAAATTTTATTTATCCCCATGGCATTTAATTCCAGCGTATCCCGTATATTCTGAACCTTCTTGATGTGTTGATTCGCATATTGCATTAAGTTCAAGTTAACATTGCTCATGATCAGAGCTTAGGACAACTCCAGGGCAATCTAAAATGTCCGTTGAGGACTAGGTTTCCTTTCCTTTCTTTTTAATGAAGTTTGACAAATCTGATGTATGCGTTTAATGGGAAAACGCACTGCAAGATGTAAATTAAATTCTTATTTTATTTATTGCATTATCTGTACTTTCTGTTACTACTTTTAGAAATCCAGCATCACTGACAACCAAGTTTTTTAGTCTTCTTTGGAGGATATTTGAAAAACCGTAAAAACATTATTGAATTTCTCTAGAAATACAGCAGAGGTGCTAGTGCTGTGCTAGCACTGTTATCATGTGCTGGTTCGCTTCTGGAAAACTTGACTCTGCCCATATTTCACCATGGATCATCTACGGCAGTGTTTTTCCAACTTGGCAACTTTAAAATATGTAGACTTCAATTCCCAGAATTCCCCCCTGCCCAGCAAGTCCACATATTTAGAGTTGCCAAGTTGGAAAAACATTGACCTGGGGAATATTTATTGCAGAGTCTCTGGGACACAGTCTAGAGCACAGGTGTCAAACTTGATCGCCTGATGTATCGCGATGTTTTTTGCCTTTGCGGAGCCGGAGTGGGCGTGGCCTACGTGTGACGCATCCAGCCTGCGGGCTGTCAGTTTGATACCCCTGATCTAGAGGCTAGCAAGAGCAAGTCTGTTCGTTTGATGAATCAAGACATTATATTACAGCACTGCTATATCTGATATATTGCAATATAAAGGAAGAAGCTTTCTGTTGATATATTTGAAAGATATTTGTGTTTCTGCATGGTTAGTGTAAGCAGGAATGTGGACTTTGTGATGGGACTTAACTAAACTCATTTTCTACTAAAGTCCCAAGATATTTAAAATAAGTAGTCCCTTGAGATTCACTGCTATTTTATAGAGAAAAAATATGTTCAATAGCACTATTAGCAATATTAACTTAAACACCATTGTGTTTGTTACTCATATAACACTACTTCTACCTTTTTTAAGCTGAGGGGAAAGCTTTATAAATATGTTTTGTCTTTCAAAAGAAAATACCTTTTTTGTATGCTTGGTGTGTGTGAGAGAACTTTTTTACCATCCTAATTAAATTTAAGGATTGATTGAATGATACACACAACATACTATGCTATATATAAGTAATAAACCGACACATCATAATTTGAATAGCTGAATAATTCATAGCATTGAGGCTAAATGAGGTAAGAAGTCATAATTCATATCTGAAACTGAATTGTTTCTTTGGCACTACATGCAGCTCCACCATTTGACTGTGCTACCAATTCAGAGGGGACGAGAGTAGGCTTTTAACACTATCAGACAAAATACAATCATGTCAAGATTTTAATGTAAACCAACTGTTAGGATTGTAGCTTTGAAAATTAAGGGCAAAAATACAAAGACTCCCGTTAAAAGTTCTTTAGCTGCTGATTAGGAATCCCTGATGGTGATTAGTGAGTATGGAATGCAATCATGCCTGTAGGCTTTAATCAGTCCTATGATGGAGAAGTCAGTTACTCAAAGAGAGACCAAATTAATACATGTGTTATTTCTGTAGGATGTATTATTTTTTAAAAGTTAAAAAAGAAAAGATGGTAGCAAGATATATAACGAAATACAAATCGGGGCACTGATTAAAATTTTGAAGAAAAATCCGCTTTTTATTTAGAAAATAATGTTTAATATTGCACTTTTTTATTGTTTTGGCAATAAATGTAGTAGAGCCTCGGTGTCGGCTGTTATTTTAAAAAGCATATGAATTCCATGTATGCTTTTGTGAGCCAGTTTCTGACATGCAAGTTTTATTTATACAGGTTATTGCCTCGGATGCGCTTTTCTTTGCCAGTAATGTTACATAAGTGCTTATTTTTGTTGGGAGAACAACAAACGCAAAGTAACATCTGCAGCATCTGATTAAGAGAAGTAATGCCACCTTTCTTTTGTTTCTCTGCTCAGAAACACTGCAATACCATCCAACTGGATTCTGGAATAGACTACAGGAAGCGTGCACTGCCTGCTGCAGGAAAGCTTTATTACCTGTAGGTAGAAACTAAGATTGACTCGGTGCATTTTATTACAGTCACAGCAACTTTTAGACGGGGAGGAAAAGGGAACCAAGTTGATCCTATAGGCCAGTGGTGGCGAACCTATGGCACGGGTGCCAGAGGCGGCACTCAGAGCCCTCTCTATGGGCACGCGCGCCGTCGCCCCAGTCCTAGGCCTTCAGCTGGGTTTTATAAAACCTTTTCGCTTTAGGCCTCTGCCGCCATGTGCAAAAAAAAAGAGGTTCAATCAGTCAATTTCAACTTCTCGCGGGGAAAAAAAAGATCTTGCAAAGTTGGAATTGGTTGATTGAACTTTTTAGTCCCACTCAGTCTGCCGTTACCACCACGGCCACGCCCACCCAATGGGCCACACCCAGCCAATGGGCCACGCCCAGCCAATGGGCAACACCGACCCGGCACTCGACGAAGCATAAGTGGGTTTTGGGTTGCAGTTTGGGCACTCAGTCTCTAAAAGGTTCGCTATCACTGCTATAGGCAACTGCTATAAACCCTAAAGATATTGCTCATACCATCAGATATTTCCAGTATCTCCAGTAACATCTTTTCCAAATGTGTGACTGAATTAAGACTAATTAGAAGGGGGGAGGTGTGGTGCTTGCAGAATGGAAGTGACAGATGGTTATAAAGCAATGAATATCCTCTTGCAAAGAGTGTTCAATTCCCTGGTAAATAAACGAGCATCCTTATTGTAGTAAAGTAATTATTTATACAAATAGGGACTCATTTACTATTTGGTGTTAACATTTGTGGATTCAAAACTTTGTCTTATTTTGACAGATGATCCTCTTGTATCTAGAGTGTTGATTGACTTCAGAATTCTGTATTTCTGATAATGATAAAAATGAAGCTATAATACAACCATCAGTACAATTTATCTGTATAGCTCTGATTTCTGTTTCTCTAATGATAGTTTACCCTCAGAGCAATTTGGGAATACAAGTATATGTGATATAAAGTTGTTCCAACATCTAAAACGGAAAGTGGTTTTAATCAAGTCAATACAAAAATAAATCATCTTCTGGCTTTTATTATGGTATTGTTTTATATGACTTTTAAGGATTTAAAAAAATTGTTCTCCACTAGCAAAAAGAGCAATCCTAATCCAACTCTGTATTCTTTCTTTTGGACTATCTATTTTACTATTTAAATATTCTACAAATCTATATTTTTGGTGAGCAATAAATAAGAATCTTTAATACAGGTAGTCCTTGACCTATGACCATAATTGAGCCCAAAATTTGTGTTGCAAAGCGAGACAGTTGTTAAGTGAGTTTTGCCCCATTTAGAACTTTTCTTGCCATAGTTATTAAGTGAATCACTGCGATTGTTAAATTAGTAAAATGGTTGTTAAGTGAATCTGGTTTACCGATTGACTTTGCTTGTCAGAAGGTTGCAAAAGTGATCATATGACCCTAGGACATGGCAGTGGTCATAAATAGGAGTCAGTTGCCAAGCATCTGAATTTTGATCACATGAACATAGGGATGCTGCAATGGTCATAAGTGTGAAAAACGATGATAAGTCACTTTTTTCAGTGCCGTTGTAACTTCAAACAGTCACTAAACGAACTGTATTACCATCTAACCCGCCAATGGATTTCCCACAGCATATTTTTGGAAGGAGTCATTTTAAGATATGCTGAGGCTAGAGTACGTCTTACTACAGTGTAGTATATACACTGTAGATGCTTGGGAGAAAGAATACAATGAAACGGCATTGCATGCCAGTTCTTACGCAAGAATTATAGGAAGCTAATTTTAATGTCGCACTCTTAATAAACATGTTTCTTATGTGTATTTTGTCCCAGATATGCTGGGATTACAATTCCCAGCAAGCATGATTTTTATCATTATCAGCCTAATACATAATAGTTGTCACCAAGCATAATTTGTGCTGGCATGAAAGATTGCAATAGTAAGGAATCATGAAGGTGATGCCACTCTTAACATCTAGGAACCAATGTGACAAATGACTAAGGTGTTGGATTAAGACAAGGGATATACACAGTCCAGTTTACCCTCAGCAGTAGAGGCCATTGGATGACTCTGGGCCATTCACTTCCTTTTTCAACAGTCAATGAGATTAGGTTTTTGTTTTTTGAGAAAAATGAAGGAGGGAGCATCGTATATATGCTGCATGAACTCCTGAAGGAGGATGAAATGGAAATCTAATGAAAGAAATAAATATTATACCTCTCAGTATTGGTTATCAGGGAGCGGCCAAGATATTTTGCCATCTAAGGATGAAGAGAAAAGAAGAAAATTGTTCTTTTCTACCCTTTTCTAAGAGGGAGTGAAGTTGGAATTTATTTATATATTTACTTGTATCCTGTGTTTATTATTTTTACAAATAACTCAAGGTGGCAAACATATCCAATATACTTTTCTCCTCCTACATATATATATATATATATATACACTCTGTCTTAACATTTGTTTTTATAAGCTCAATGTCATGGTTCCGACAGACAGAAACGAATAAAGCAGAACTCCGAGGCTTGCAAGTTCCTCAAAGAATATGTTTATTAGTTACAAAATATTGGCACGGTCAAAAGTGAAACCAAGTCTTGATACACAAGCAACAATTTTCCAATACAAAGTTAAATGTCCCACCCACAAAAGCTATGTAAGCAAGTACATTCCCCAATATGATTGTTTGGCGGGCTTTTTATGAAATGCCCAGTCCCTAGTCTCGGGAGCAGCTTCCCAAGGGACAAAAGATTATTTTGACTAGTGAAGCACCTGGGCAACCCCCCTCCCTCCATTCTAGGTGGCAGCCTAAAATGAGAAGGAAAATGGCTGCAGCCATGCTCATTTGTAGAGTTGACGCTCAGAAGATTGGGGGGGGGGACTCTAGACATCAGCACATCCTCAAAAACTCCAGGCTGTGGTTGTGTCCAGTCCTTGGAGACCAGAGACCCCTCATAGACAGTTGAGAAAATCAAAATTTCCTGTGAAGTGAATACTTCTCTACTTCCAGGAAGTGAAAAATACAAGGATATAATAGCATATACACTGACATGGCAATTTATTGTCTTTTATCAAAAAGGGTAGTCCAGCTCAGGACAGCTATCTAAGTTTGCATAATGGCGAGGTTGAAACACAACTTCTAGTTCTACCAATGGATGTCCCAGAGGCATCTGATAAGAAATTTGGCTTGGAAATTTCAGCAACTGCTGTTACATTCTAAATTTTGAGCACATTTTAAATTTTAAGCCAAGTATTGCATAATTTATTTTTTTAATTGATAAAAGGAACTGTAAATATTGGGTGACTTTTGGTTAAAAGTAAAAGACTTCTTTTGATAAACTCCTTGAATATATCAGCTAAATTATACTCAGAAGAATTGTAGATATTCTAAAACAGAGGTCCCCGACCTTTTGGGCACCAGGGACCGGTTTCGTGGAGAGAGGTTTTTCCGCGGACCGGAGGGTGCGTGGTTTTGTGTGCTGCCTGCATCCCGCAGCTGGAGCTTTGCTTGTTTGTGCAAACTGGTTGCTGGCATGTGTGGCTCTGTACCGGTCCAAAGACAGGGGTTGGGGACCCCTGTTCTAAAATGTCTTATGGTTGTAATCTTGATTCTGGACTCCAGCAGCTAACAGAAGAGAGATCGGTTTTACTCCAATCTATTTCAAGTGCTGTGTGTGTTATGAATATACCTAATTCCAAAGGGTTCCCCCCTCAGATGTCAGTCAGCTTTTACCTTTTTTGTAAGATAGAGACAGAACTCTGCCTGTCTCATTGTGTGCATTTACAGCATGGATGGCCTTGCTTGCATTGTCATATTAATGGAGACGGCTTGAAATGTAGAAGTCTTTCAATGAATGTAAATAAAATGAAATTATCTACCTGAGAGTTAATGTTCTCTGCTTTTTAAGTGAATTCTAAATCTAATGTTTGTATTTACAACATAACATCCTGTTCGTTCTCTCTCTCTCTCTCTCTCTCTCTCTCTCTCTCTGTCTTTCTCTCTCTCTTATATGGGCAGAAAGCTAAGCAAGCTCAGGCAGCTGTTTGATGTTGGCTTCAAGTGTTATTAATTTCATATTCTATTATTCTTTTCACTGTAGCACAAGTGAAGCTGATGTGGAGGCTGTCATGGATAAGTTGTTTGATGAGCTGGCTCAAAAACAAAATGATTGTACGTAAGTTAATTTCTCTTGAAAGAGAATACATTTAGAACACAATGCCCAATCTCCACTGACCAATTAATAAGTTCTACTGCTGTGTATGGGTTGATGCCACACTCAAGTGGCAGCCATTGTATCAGCATTTTGTCTAATTTATGTGTTGAATCATGTGCTATTATTCATCAAGCTATGCATTTCCTATCTGTAAGAGATGAGTTTTATAGTAATTATCCAGACAAGATTGAGTCTTTGTTCATGTTCCCATAGTAACTAGACCAAGGATTTTAAAAGTACAAGGCAGAGGACTGAGAGTGAATAAAGCATGTGGAACCATTGCAGACTTCACATTTGAAGAGCTGTGTGACAAAGTGAGTACACCATCAAGCCTGGTTGGGCTTTTCAGGTCTGTTTTGATCATATCCCTGCTCCAAATAAGCCTTCAGATCTCCTTTGAGTTTATAGCAACCATCGCAACTGAATTGCAAAGTAGAACTATAAACACTAACAAGATGAAAAAAGCAGGTACAGGGTGTTTCTCTTCAAAGTAACCTGTGATATTTAATGTCAGTGCCTTTTTAAAGAAAAAGAATCTGTTGGTGTATTAATACCTCGGACTTAGCTGTTTTCATGAATCAGACCAAAATATCTCCTAGAGCATTTGGTTTTCAGCAAGGGACAATATTTTGCAAGAAGAAGGGAGGTTTTTGAACCTTTTTTGGCTTATGAAAACATCTGGGTTTTGAACAATAAGTACTGGTTGTCAAGGTGAGTGGGCAGTCACAAAATGCTGCAACAAAACCTCTGCTTCTTTGAAAGCCAAATTGGTGAAGTTAAAGGCAGAAACATCGTTTGAACATACAGTATAATGTTTTGACAAAACAGCCAAAGGACAGAAAAATAAATAATTTATATCTATACTGAACCTTGCCTATACAAATAATACCCCTTCTTCCGACCTGCATAGCATGCTAGGCAGCTTGTGTGGTTTAATGAACTATATATATATTAGTTTTTTATAATTGCAAGTGCTTAAAATATTATCAGCAACATACTGTCTGGGTTTCAATGTCTAGTTTACTAATACATATTAAGTTCCTTTCTCTCTACCTCGTTTTTCTAGCCAATTATCAAAAGTATCTCATGTTCTAAAGTAAACTGAATCTTCTTTCTCTTTCATTTTCAATGTCAATCTATCCATTTTTGCACTCTTTAAGATTTTTTAAATCAACACTTCCTCCGCTGGTAGATCTTCATTTTTCCAGTATTGAGCAAATACAAGTCTTGCTGCAGTTAATATATGTAAAATTAAATATATACACTCTTTTCATAATTACCTACAATTATGCCTAACAAAAATAATTCTGGCTTAAACCCTATGGATGAACTTCTAAACTCCTAAACTCATCTCACTTCCTAAAGTTGCTTCCAAGTCACTTTCACATATCTTAGTCTCCCTTCAGACTGTGCAATTGTTTCTCCCCAAATCGTTTTGTGCTGCCGAACCAGTACATTTACTGGAGATCAGAGTTTTTTTTCCTTTACCCCCCTTTTTATGACATTTAGGAGGGTTAGCTGCAACATAACAATTTCAAGTGCCCCCCTTTCTTTCTTTTCTTCTTTGAAAAGGCTCTGGACATGCAGAGAAAGGGCATGTCTGCTTCCTTGCTGCCCATGGTATACAAGTTGCTTTGACTGAAAAATGGGTACTGGGGAAGTATTCTTGATGAGTACTGAAACTATGAGAGATGTTAGGGACAGTCAACAGGTAGGGATCATATCGCCCAGTCCTGCTTTTGACATTCAAGTGCCTACAGAAAAAAGGGGCTTTATCTTGGACTTACAAGATTCCATAGAGTATGGTCAAAATGCATGTTCAAATTGAAAAAAGTATCAAAATATATCTATAACAGTGCTTTTTTTCTTTAAAAAAAAAAAAAGGTGCCGGAACTCACACACATCATACAACCCGCCTTGCCTACCCTACAAGGTTCCATCCAAAAAAGGTGCCGGAACTCTGTTCTGGGCGTTCTATGAGAAAAAAAGCCCTGTCTATAACAATGTGGAGGTTATTCTTAACTTACAACCATAATTGAACCTGGCAATTAAGTTTTGACAGTTGTAAAGCAGCTCACATCTGACTAGACCCATTTTATGACTTTTTTGTGGCAGTCGTTAACACTATGGTCATTAAACCCATTGTTCATCACAGTCATCACAGTCAGATGTTGCAAACAGCTGTAAATATGGATTTATTTTGCTGAGCCCTCAAAATGCATTCAAAATATTGCGGGACCACGGGAAGGTGACATCGGTACTTCAAAACTGGGTCGTAAATCCCTTTGGGAGGGAGTCCGTTGTAACTTCGAATGGTTGGTGAACAACCGGGACATACGTTGACTGTCTGTATTCCTCCAATGCTGCCTCATTGTTTAGGGGGAAAATTCCTTGTGACACTAGTTCCTTTCATTTGTTCAGAAGACTAGTTCAAAAAGATTTTTTTCTTTAAAAAAAGAGTAATTCCTTTTGCTCAAGATTTGTATTTATGAGGTCCATTGCATTTCAGGGCAGTGGGTCTGTAAGCTCAGCAATAGAGGCTGACTTTTTCTTTAAAATAGCATAAACACACTATTTTTAATAAAAGTAAAGTGTTAGAAAATGTAAGAATTGAAAGTATAAATTGAGATTTAATATTAATGATATGCCAGATTTTCTCCCTGGTGAGAATGTGGTCCTTTCCCTTAAGTCTGTGATATTCAGTTTCTGCTATTTTTCTACTTCATAATTATGTTTGGAAACTTAGGCTGTTAATACGTGATTGAATTCAGACTTCTGCCAATCTGTAGTTTAGTGTAAGCGAACTAGACAAGCATGAACAAACTGAAACAGGCTTTAGTCTTTTTGCGCCTATATGCCAGAAGGAGTATGAAAACATCCACTTTTTAAATCTCAGTTCTATCCACCAAATTCTGACCTGGAATATTTCTTCATAAGGGCTTGTCAGAGCAGCATTTCCATGTTCGTTTCTCTCAATCATAGTTATAGCTAATCACAGTTACTTAAATTAAAATTATGAATCTCTGATAGGTGAGAGTTTTTTTTTAAATCTTATTCCTAATTTCATAGAAAACAATTGAATGTAAGAGGCCGAAGCTGACAGTGGCTTGACATAATTAGTTGTGGAGCTCCAAATAATTATGTAGGAAGCGATGACTGAATGTGGCTGTATATATTTATTATAATAATAAATATTTTTTTGCTCATAACTACATTTTTGCAACAACTTAACAGCTAAGTTATTATGATCACTAAAAACTAATGTTTTCATGTCAAACCCATTGATTTAAGGTTTTCTTTAGTATGTGTAATTTAACTTAAAAGCTATCAGTGTATGTTTATTACAAATTTATCATCTGAAATATAGATGATTTTTAAATAAGCCCAGAAAATTTGATAATAACATCCTTCTCTATACTTTTGTAGCTATCACTTTAAACAACAAAACCCTTGAAACTATATGTCTGTGTAGCAAATACGCCCTCTGATGGTAGCAATAACTTTTTGATATAATTAAGCTTGAGCAAAGATTACAGTTTCCCAATAAGAACAGAGTGAACTTACTGATGCAGACTTAGTAATGGTCTTAAGTATAAGGGAACCAATACCTGTTCATTTCCTTTTTTCCATTTATAGAAGCTTCTTCTAACAATACTACTCTAAGGAATTGTACAGTTTTTGTTTTGTTTTAAAAACAACAGCACAAACATTAGACATGCACCTATCCATATGTATATATATATAAAAAAATTGTGTGTGTGTATTAAAGTCATAGATCAGGAATAGGATGGAAAAGGGATGGTTACTTACGATGGGGAGCATTAGCCAATGGTAGCTAATATCAATCCCAGCCAAATGTGGGCTCCTCCTCAGTGAATGTTTTTTTTTTTAAAGTTCATGCCTGTCAGTCATCTGTCAGGGATGCTTTAATCTGGATTCCTAAATTGTGCAGGATATTGGACTCTGTGGCCTGAATGATTCCCTCCAAGATTATGATTCTAAAACAGGATATTCATATGTTATAAGTGAAGGTTATAATTCTGGAGTTCTATATTTTATTGATTTGTTTGCTGTTTTATTGGTATTGAAGAAGGTGTACAATCTGAAAACTGAGGGATTGTTCACTAACAACCTTAAGAAATGCATCTAGAGCTGAATGGGAATGGGAAAGGATAGGGTAGGAGAGAAGAGAAGAGAAGAGAAGAGAAGAGAAGAGAAGAGAAGAGAAGAGAAGAGAAGAGTTGGAAGGGACTTTGGAGGTCTTCTAATCCAACCCCCTGCTCAGGCAGAAAAACCTATACTATTTCAGACAAATTGGTTACCCAATATCTTCTTAAAATCTTCCAGTGTTGGAGCCTTCACAACTTCTGGAGGCAAGTTGTTCCTCTAATTAAATGTTCTAACTGTCAGGAAATTTCTCATTAGTTCTAGGTTGCTTCTCTCCTTGATTAGTTTCCACCCATTGCTTCTTGTCCTGCCTTCAGGTGCTTTAGAGAATAGCTTGACTCCCTCTTCTTTGTGGCAACTGCTGAGATATTGGAACACTCTAATTATGCAAGTGCTTACAGTAAATTTAAAAAAAAAGGATTCTACAAAGAATGTTTTTATCATTGACAATAATTGCGAAATGTTTATTATTGCAAAATCAACACAACTGCCTCCATGGTTATATTCTCTGTCCAAATGATTAACCCTTATTCTTGCCATCTTAACAAAAGTAATCAATTCTAAATAAATAAATAAAACAGAAATCCATTCAAAATAAAATAGAGGAACCCCAGAGTGCTAAAACCAATAATTCCCTTGCCTATTAGAACAATAAGTAGGTCTGGATGTACATTTTCTTAGCTCTAAATAAACAGCACAGGACAGATTTCAGAAATAGTAGTACTTCCTTCAGTTTTCTGTTCTTTTATAATGATTTTTTTTAAGCTGATAGTGCTGTTGATGAATAATTCCATGGCAAAGGAGAAGACTGTCACTTTCTTCAGATGTAAAAACACTCAAAGCTATCACCATCCGAATATGGCACTAATAGAAAAATATCTATTGCTCATTATTTCTGAGAATGCTTTAATATGTACCTCTAAAAATAATTTGAGCAGAGATAATGACAATTGTACTTTTGTTAACTTGGCAGTTAAATTGAAAAAAAGAATTACTTAGATTGTAGACTAAAATGGGCTAACAGATAGATGAGATTGAATTGCCATGAATGAATTTGAAGCTAGCCTAATGTTAATAAAATCCTACTCCTCCATATTAAGGATTATCAGTAGAAGCTCTCACATCATCCATCATTTCTATGGTAGCAAAAAGACAGAAAACCAACTTTAAATCACAAAAGTTATTATTACTTGCAGGAAAGTCAGCAATTTCTTTTCTGTATTAACTTCTAAAAGTTAAAACATCATAAAATTAATTTAAGTGTGAAATATAAATAGGGGCTGGCTGATGACTGCTCTCCAAATTTGATCAGAGAATTAATTGCAAGGAAGGACTGGGAAGGACAAGGACAATGTTAGACAAAAGTCTAACATCAATGGAGCATGATTCCAATAATTATCTTTTTAAAGAGTCACATACATTCATTTTCTACAGTATGTTATAGACATAAGGCTTGGGAACCTGTAAAATTCCAAACATTAGTAAACTAAAACTCACTGTGTTAGTCAATGTAGCTATTGCTCCATAAGGTTGCTGGTTTTGTAACTTTGCCACATCCAGAGGCCTACAGTTGTTGGCCTCTCAGATGATTATAAAAAGGTGGAACAATGTGTCATGCAATCTTATCTGAAACTTGAATTGGAAATTTACATTCAAAGAAGGTACCTGAACTGCACTGAGTATTCAGGTCAAACACACTGGCTATTTACAGAGCAAATTACACGATTTAAGAAATATTTTCTCAAACCTAGGCTATTAAAAGAGGACAGCATGTTCTTCAGAGAGGTAATATTTTCATAAATAAAGCACATCACCATTACAAGCTGTGCAGCCTGCAATACTGAACCAATCCTTCATAGAAAACAAAGTCCTGGATTCCAGATAGTTTCAGTAACTTGTCTGGCTCTTTCAAGAAAACTGCGATGTTTTTCAAGAAACATAAGGAAGGATATTATTGCATACCCAGAGAATAAAATTTTACAGCTTTTTTTTTCCACAACTGCTTAATAAGGATCATTTCAGTATATTCACTGCATAGTGAAGAGTCAGAACATCAGTGTCAAAATGGACAGTATTAAGCAAACTGGATTTAACACTTGATGGTATAAGAGCCATGGTGGCGCAGTGATTAGAATGTAGTCTTGCAGGCTAACTCACTGCTCATTTTCAGGAGTTTGATCCTAACCTGCTCAAGGTTGACTCAGCCTTCCAGGTGGGTAAAATGGGGACCCAGATTGTTGGGGGCAAGATGCTGACTCCGTAAACCACTTAGAGAGGGCTGTAAAACACTATGAAGCGGTATATAAATCTTAAGTGCTATTGCTATATAAAATAGCTTCCTATATCTGCAATATCAGGCTATACCCTAACATTTCAGACAAATGATTGTCCACAACTTCTGGAGGCAAGCCATTCCACTGGTTAATTGTTCTTACCATCAGGAAATTTTTCTTTAGTTACTTCTCTACTTGATTAGTTTCCATCCATTGCTTCTTGTCCTGTCTTCAGGTTGACCCCCCCCCCTCTTCTTTGTGGCAGCCCTTCAAATATTAGAACACTGCAATCATGTCATCCTTAGTCCTTTTTTTCATTAAACTAGACATGCCCAGTTCCTCCAGCCATTCTTCATATGTTTTAGCTTCAGCCCCCTTATCATCTTTGCTGCTCTTTTCTGAACTCTTTCCACAGTCTTAACATCTTTTTTTTATATTGTGGCGACCAAAACTGGATGCAGTATTCCAAGTGTTATCTTACCAAGGCGTTATAAAGTGGTACTAAGTTTTCATGTGATCTTGATACTGACCCTCTGTTGATGCAGCCTAGGACTGCACTGGCTTTTTTGGCAGTGTAGCACACTGCTGGCTCATATTTAAATGATTGTCCACTAGGACCCCTAAATCCCTCTTGCAGTTACTGCTTTTTTCCACCTATTCTTTACCTGTCCATTAGGTTTTTCTTGCCTAAGTGTAAAACCTTACTTTTCTCTACATTTTAATTTCATTTTATTAGCTAGGGCCCAGTGTTCAAGTCTCTTGAGATCCTTCTGAATCTTGAGCCAGTCTTCTGGGGTGTTGGCTATTCCTGCCAGCTTGGTGTCGTCTGCAAATTTGATTAATTCCCCTACTGGTCACACTTTGTCAGCAACAGTAGGAAGAAGATGATGAAGGTCAGCTGTGGGTGACAAGGCCAGTGGAACACAGGGCTGTGGGAGTGGCTGGGGTTTTACCCTGTGGCACTCGGGTGGCTGGCCACAGGACAGGTCTTCAGGTGGCACTTAGTGACGCTGGATCTGAAGCCCATGGCTGATAGTGGCTGGCTGACACTGCTGAAGGCCCTGGACCTCTACTTCAACTATGGAACTGCCAACGAGTGCCACTGTGCAGGGCAGCCAAAAGGGCAGAGATGGGGAGGAGATAGGCTGGTGAAGGGAGTTGAAGCTCACTGGCAGTTGCAACTGTGAGCTGGCTGCCAGGCAGCCAGATTTTTAGCACATGATTATGTGATGCTGCAATGGCCATAACTTCAGGGACCAGACATACCTTTTGTTCAGTGCTGCCACAACTTCAAATAGTCACTAAATCAGCGGTTCTCAACCTATGGGTCGTGACCCCATTTGGGGTCGATCGACCATTTCACGGGGGTCGCCAAGCAAGGCTGTCCGCCATTTTTCCCCCTTTTCCAGCGGGTGCCTTACCTCCCTTGGGCTGGGCCAGCTGGTAGTCGGCCTGCTCCGTCTCTGCTGCTTGCCAGCTACGCCTCGGCCGGCGCAGGGGGCGGAACCACGCATGCGCGGCGCTCCCGGGCAGGGAAAGTCCTCGACTTACGACCGGTTGGGTAGTCCTCGACTTATGACCGGTTTAGTCCTCGACTTACGACTGGTTTAGTCCTCGACTTACGACCGGTTGGGGGTCGCGGCATTAAAAAGGTTGAGAACCACTGCACTAAATGAATAATCATTAACCAAGGACTGCCTGTATACATTTTTACCTTTTGCTTCAGAAACGGTTATAGAAAGCGAGCTGTGTTAGTCCAGGGAGGAATGGGACAAGTTGCCACAGCCAACTCACTGCGGCCAACTCTCCATGGCCAACTTGCCAAAGCCAACTTGACACAGCCAACTCGCTGCGGGACAACTCACTGCAGACAATTTAACAATTCCATTTAATTATTTAAAATAAATTAAAAATTATTTTAATTTTTACCATTCACATTTCATTCTGTCCTTTCTTTTGCATCCTTTCTTTAATGATTCTTTTTCATCATTTCTTTGATATTACTGTAAACTTTTGTCTTGGCCGTGGCAAATTGTCCGGCATCGAGTTGGCCGTGGTGAGTTGGCCATGGCGAGTTGGCCATGCCAAGTTGACTGCAGTGAATTGGCTGTGGCAACTTGTCATAGACCCGAAGTCCAGAGTAGTTCAAATAAAAAAGATTCTGGTGCTATAAGTGATGTGTTGCTATCCTTACGCCCTTATTTTCCTTTCAGTCTTATCCTACTTTATTACAGTCTAGATATGAGAATAAAGGAAAAGACGTGCTTTTAATCAATTAGAACAAAATATGCATGTTTATTAAAATCCATATATTTAGTTTTCCCTTTCCTTTTCTGAGGGGGAAGCAAAATGGAAAAGCATTTGATCGATTAGGACAAGAAAACCCAATTTTTACCATCTTGAGGAACTTGTTCTCACTGACGTGAATGGACTTTTCAGCTGATTTAAACAGAAGTCAGCCTTTTTGTTACCTTTTGAAATGTGACTGTCAACCTATTGGTTTCCCACTTCTTATTTCCCATTTCAGCCTCTTGGAGCCAGTGATTATTTGGAAATATCCAAGAATTTTGATCTGGTTTTTGTTCATGATATACCTCTCCTTACAATGGCAAAAAGAACCCAAGCGCGACGCTTCATCACTCTCATTGATACCTTTTATGAAAAAAAGGTAAGCATTTGGTTTGCAGGTTCTTATAAGATGAGTGCATCTTGAATTGTTTTGGAAATCTGAATGTTAATTAATTAATTAATGCCTGGCAAAGCATCAACATATATTCATTGATCACACTGCACTACCATGTGAGCTATCAAAGCCTTGACTGTTAAGATTAATGTGTTGTCTAATTGTATTTAAATTACTGCATTTTCTCCTTTAGTTGCCAGCTGCATTAAAATTTACAATGGCTCAGCAGTGAAAGACACTGAGCTTGTCAGCTTGAGAGCTGACAGCCCAGGTTCAAGAACTGAGCTTGGCGCAATGGGGTGAGCTCCCATTACTTGCCCCAGCTGCTGCTCACATAATAATAATAATAATAATAATAATAATAATAATAATAATAATAATAATAATAATAATAATAATAATAATAATAATAATAATAATAATAATAATAATAGTAGTAGTAGTAGTAGTAGTAATAATAACGATGATGATGATGATGATAGATGATGATGATGATGATGATGATGATGATGATGATGGAAGGGACCTTGGAGGTCATCTAGTCCAACCCCCTGCTCAGGCAGGAAACCCTATACCATTTCAGACAAATGGCTGTCCAGTCTCTTCTTAAAAACTTCCAGTGTTGGAGCATTCACCGCTTCTGGAGGCAGGATGTTCCACTGGTTAATTGTTCTGTCAGGAAGTTTCTCCTTAGTTCTAGGTTGCTTCTCTCCTTGATTAGTTTCCATCCGTTGCTTCTTGTCCTGCCTTCAGGCGCTTTGGAGAATAGCTTGACTCCCTCTTCTTTGTGGCAGCCCCTGAGATATTGGAAGACTGCTATCATGTCACCCCTCGTCCTTTTCTTCATTAAACTAGACATACCCAATTCCAGCAACCGTTCCTTCTATGTTTTATCCTTCAGTCTCCTAATCATCTTTGTTGCTCTTCTCTGCACTCTTTCTAGAGTCTCAACATCTTTTTTTACATCGTGGTGACCAAAACTGGATGCAGTATTCCAAGTGTGGCCTTACCAAGGCATTGTAAAGTGGTATTAACACTTCATGTGATCTTGATTCTATCCCTCTGTTAATGTAGCCTTGCACTGCGTAGTAGTTTGAAAGCATGCAAATGCGAGTAGATAAATAGATACCACTTTGGTGGGAAAGTAACAGCATTCCCTACACCTTTGGGGTATAGCCATGCTGGCCAAATAACCGCGGAAATAGTCTTTGGACAACGCTGGCTGCCTTGGTCAGGAAATGGAGATGAGCATCACAGTGCAGATTGGGTACAACTGACAGGAAAACCTTTACTTTTTTTTTTAAAGCTAGATGAAGTCACCAAAGCAGCAACATTGTCAGTGACTAGTAAAGATTAGGATTAAGATAACCAAACAGATGTGACTGAATTTCCACATAGTGTTTTTTATTCAACAAATGGGCAAATTTAGGATTTGTAAGCAAAGTGTGTAAGTCTTGTGTCTCACTTTATGAAATTGCACCTTCACAAAAAGGGAAAACAAAACTGGGCATTCAAACAGTCTGAAAGACAGAGCGGTTCAACCTCCTATGGGAGAAAAATATGCCATTAAATTCTTTTGTTGGTTTTGTTCCAAAAACAAAACAAAACCCTTACAAGGGCAGCCTCTTGAAAAACTAAAAACAAAAGGTATGTGACACATCAAAATTTTCAAACAAACATTTGTGCAGATGTACTTGCCTCCAAAATTCCTATAGGTTTGTATGAAAGAGTATAGAATTTTTTTAAAAAAATCAGGCAGATCAGCCCAGGAAAGCCCAGATTAATCTTCCTCTCTGAGGAAATATGCATACCTCAAACAACTTTGCACAGTAGAAACAAAATGTTTCCCCCAATGGGGGAAGAAGAGTCCCCCCCGCCCCCCCTCCAGGAGAGTTCTTCTTAATCACTTTTTAAAGATGACATGGTTTGGAGTTTCAACATGACGAAAGGACAGAGTGAATTTGCTTTCAGCCTTTCATAACCTAGACTACTTTGGAGGCATTCGTGGTAATGGGACCTTTTTAGACTTTTTGTTTGGATTTATGTGGAAAAGGATAGTAAGGACATTCACCTCAAATATTATGCTGATTTCCTTCATCTTCATCTGATGTTCTGCATAATCTGTATCTCAAAAATGTAGATAACTACCAATCTACACACACACACACACACACACATATACACACACACACACACACACAGAAATTTTTGTCATTGATGTCTGCTTCCTAAGACTGAGAAAGAGTGACTGGCCTAAAATCACCCACAGCCTGTTGCTTTGCACCTAAGGTGGGAGTAGAATTTACTGTCTCCCTGTATTTGCCACCTTGAGCTGATCAAATATAAAAAAGGTAGGATAAACCGTTTTAATTTGGTCTTTGATTTTTCTTTCTTGGATCTCCTGCCAAACATTTTCATTCAGTGACCCTGAATCATAATATGGGGTATAGGGAGCACTTTATCTGGAGAGCAAAAGCATTGCTATCTACCAAATTCTTTTCCAAATAATTTTAAGATAAAAGAAAATATTCAGTCTATTTTGCTGCTGCCTATCGTGTCAAATTCATCTAATTAAATTGTTTTAACCAATTTTGCTGAGAAATTGCACAGCGTTTTGACTCCAGACAATAGTTCTGTTCAAGCCGCTTACAGACTTTTGTTGGGTAGTTATTCCAGGTTATTTTGCATGTGTGCATATGTGTTGATTTAGTTTCCAAAACGCATAGATGAGTAAAATGTTAATGAGTTTGCCCCAAAGTGATACTCAATTTAAAATAAACAAGCACTCTTACTTTTAGTCTGAGTTGTGGAACCCCTAATGAAATAGTAATGATAAATGCTGTACTTAGATTTACGAAGGTTTCAATCATGGAAGGAAAATCAGCAATATTAAAACAACTTAAAGGTTCTTTGAATTTAAGCTGATGTTTTAAAATGTAATGGAAGATATTAAGCTTCACCTTATGTGTGATTATAGACATGCACTTAAATATTTATGCAATCAGGAAATATCGATTGAGATTAAATTCTTTTTAAAAATGCACTGGAAAAGAAATGCACACACAGGGGCGCATACCTTCTAGTTCAGCAAGAAATGTGGGCCATTTCCAGAAAATACAGTTTCTGCTGACTAAATGCCACTCATTGGTTTTAGTTTTAGTTCCTTGAGCAGCATAGCACTTCTGTACGAACAGATGTCAGAGAGATGTTTTCTATTAGCAGAACAAAGTGGGGTTAATTCTTTCCTCTAATGCTACATGTGTGTAACGTGTTTGGACTTTATCACAAGCATTGTTTCCCAAGTACCACACAACCTCAGAGCTCCCGATTTTGACCTCCTAGACTCTATCCTTTTTGTGAATTTTAAGCAACATTGTAGTGTCCGGTGGTCGTCATTTTTTAAGGCAGACCACTGTCCTCCTCTACCTCTCAAGTTTGTCCTTTTAGCCTGCCTCAATGGACTTCTGTTGTATGATCCCTTGGGCTTCTTATATGTTGTATTTCATTTGCTATGTCCTGACATCCTGCTTTTGTAAGCATACAGTTCCATACAAGCGATCACCCTTACATGAATACTTTCCTGAAGGATTTACCTTTCTTTCTGTATGCTAACTTTGTTCACTTCTGCAATCCCTTTCATTCCAGGATCATGTTCTGTTCTTTTGACTAAATCTTCTCCAGGAAAAGAAAAAAGGAAACCTAATTGTCCCCTCAAATACATAGTGACAGTTTAAACTATACCTCTGCAGCTGCAGCACTGGGGAAGATTAACCCATTGGGTGATGTTTCTTTCTACCATACCAGAGAATCTGCTTGGTGGTAAAAACTACAATAGAGATTTCTTATCCTTCCTGGATAACACGAGACAAAGTAAAACAAAAATTCCCTTGGTGCTACTGTCATTATGGCCCATAAGAACTCTTATCAGTTTTTTCATGGACATACAAAGGGAGAGATCAGTCTATTTCTGTTCCATGTCAGTTTTCTGTTTTCATAGGTACATTCATAGGATTATTTTCTCCTGTTTCCATAGATGAATCTATGGGGTTTTTAAAATGGCTGCGCAAAATTGTGTATTTAAATGTGTATCTTTAAATGTATTTTCTCACAAAATAGTACGTTCCATTATATTTCATTTGAAATATATACATGCGTTTTAATTTTAATTTTTAATTGCGCGTGGGATGAGAATTACTTTGAAATGGGGAGATGGTCTGATTATGTTGTTATCCATACATGTTCCCAGAAAATGCAAATGAGTTCTGGTTAGGTCAGAATAAAATTCCCAACAGCCTGGCTTCTATTAATAATTCCCCTCAGCAGAGAGCAATGCACAGGTATAATCCTTTTCCTATTGAACAAAATAGGAGCATCAGAAAGGAAGCAAATAGACTAATGTGCTTCTCCGAAATCCAACAAATGCACCCATAGTGAGACTGCAATTAAAGGAGGGGATGCTTAATGACTGTGTCTTTCAGAGGCTTGACATATTTATTACAATACCTCCCAAGAGCTAAAGGAAAGAAAACTAACCAAATGTTTCCATTCTGAGGTAAATCTCATAAGGACAAATAATATTACTTATGTAGACGAATCCATAATGATGCTACTGTCCTCAAGCATTGTCTAATTAGCATATATTCTCATCTCAAAATTTAAAAAAGAGGGTCCTAGAAATACCTCTTTGTTTTAAATTAACAAGGATCACCTTGTTAATTAAGAAATCTAGAGATCATTTACGGAAGTCCCAGTCTCTTTGCAAAAGAACTTCTTCTTTCCGTGGCCTTTCCTGGAAGAACAGCAGCATAGTATGTCACATACTATAGTCATTCCAGAAGTCCTGAAGGAAAAAAAAAGTGTGTTTTTCCCAAAGAGTGTAGTGTACTAGTTACTAGCCTGCTGCAATTTTCAAAGGTTGAAGCTGGCAAAGATTCCTTGACCATTACCTGTCCATTAAAAAAAAATGCAATTGCTTTGCATCTCTTTCCTGCCAGGCAAGTATTTTCTCAGACATTTTTGCTTTAATTGACTGAAAAATGCTGCACCTGTAAGCTGTCAAGCCAAAAGGGGTAGTAGAATGAAGCAGACATTTAAGAATCTATGAGGAGTTTCTAAGGAAACCTGGTTTGCTTTCCAGTGTTTTGGAGTTCTTGGACAGCTGGATCTAAAAGTTTTCGTATTAGAAGGAAAGATAATGACTGGCATTACTGGATGAAGAAGTGTGTGTGTGTGTGTGTGTGTGTGTGTGTGTGTGTGTGTGTGTGTGTGTATCTTAGACCTGTATTTCAATAAGCTGTCCACAGGCCTCTAATCCAAGAAGTTGACAGGGATTATATATGGGTAGCCAGCACGCATGCTTCCCTGCTTTCTTGGTTTTATCCCTGGGCTGAAAGGTTTTGGAATCCCTCACCTGATTTTTCCCTGCATCTTAATAATGTATAAGGCAAAAATATTTTTAAAAACTGAATGAAAACAGACTGTCATCTAAATTTGGATTAGTGATGATATAGTGCGATGGCCTGATGTGTAAATACAATAAGTACCTTTTTGATTGAGGTTAAAATAGCAACTCAGTATCTAGTGTATATTTGTTTCTTTATTTTAAAAGCTATTGCGAAAATAAGATAAATAATAAAAAATATATTTTAATATTAAAAGTTATTTGTAACCGAATGATGGCGCCACCTCTATACCCTTCTGCGTTGTTCCGGAGTGCAATTTATACACCACCAAAATCAGAAATCTGTTACTTACCTCAGTTGTTATAAGTGAACTTTCGAAAGTATTCTGTTTAAAAGTATTTTTTTTTAAGAGAAAAAAGAAAGTCCAGTTGCGTCATGAAAAAGCACCTTTGGGACATTGGAGAAATAAGAACTCTAAATGATGAACTTTAGCCATTTTTTTTTCTTCCAGGTGCGGATTATTTGCTCTGCATCAGCTCCCCTCCAGAGAATATTTATTCAAGCGGACCATGATAGTGGACTGGATGAGAAAAGGGTACTGATGGATGATTTGGGGTTGAGCCAGGTAACCACTATTGAACATTAGCGCCTTTGTTGCAAGAGAGCATAATTGCTTTGGGTCTGTGTGCTGGCATTATTGTAAAACAAAAAATCATTTAGAGGGTCATTCTGCAGCTTTCCTGCAGGTTCAGTGTAGCATTTTTCCTTCTGCCGTAATTTAATGTAATGCTATTTATTTATGGATTAGGATCATAAGTGTTCACAAATCTAGGAATATATTTCTAATGCATTGAAAATATTGGGTCAACTGCAATTCATTGTACTTGTTTTACTCAAGACATTAAGCTTTGTATCAGTTGGAAGTTCTGTTAGAACAGGGAGCAATCTATAAGCATCTTTTTACTTTAGGTTCACATGGAAGGGAGCTGATACACACCACTTCCCGCAATATGCATAAAAAACAAAACAAAACCCCCACTGCAGTCATTCATAAATATTCATTAATGCGCAATATCTTCTTGTGAATGCTTTATCATTTCCCTCCCCCCAAAAAAATATTAATTGCAGAGTGAGAATTCTTGAGTTAACTGCTGCAAATGAAAAATTACTATCAGCATTTCCCAATGAAAATAGATTTCCTGGGCAATAAGTACTATTTTGCTAAGCTGCTGAAAGGTTACACAAGGATTGTTCCAGTCACTCTCCTGTGCCTTTCTTGGTAAAGGTCATCAGGGCCACAGAACTCCGAAACGATACTTATACAATTGGCTTTCTTCAAGAGAGCCCCTGGACCTTTATCTCTATAAAGTCTTATGCTGACTTTGCACCCAAATCCTAGAGTTTGTGGGTGCCATCAAGCTATTGAATCTAACCCCTTGCTCAGAGGAGGAATTCTGAGCAATTCTCAACCAATGGCTGTTTGGCCGCCATTTGAAATCTCCAGGCATGGTTTGTGGATGAGAAACACTTTTTTTTTCTGGAAAACAAAGGTAGGTCAGTTTCTATGATAAGTTTTTTTTGAAACATTGATATGATAAAAATGCCAGACTTAACTAGCTCAGAGGATTTTTAAAAAGTGACATAGATAGTAACTTACTGACAAAGATTGACTCTCGGTATTATTCAGAACCATTGTAATCAATGTACTTTTCAACTTAAAGCTATTTCTCATCAAGATTGATAATTGCTAAAAAAAAAAAAAAGTTGGGATTTGTTCTGAAATATTAGCTAATTGCTTCCAGTAGAAATTTTGGATAAAATGTTTAAAACATCTGCATGTTTTCTTAAAATCTCCTCTCCCTTCATAGGCCATATCCAGTGTTTTTATTTTTTAATTTTTCAGTGTCATTTTAAAAGTTTTTCGTCTTGATGGTTTGCTGATTTAATGAAAATGCAAAAGGAAGACAAAAGGATTCAGACGCTATTGCTAGTAGGGCTGTGTTCCAATTTGGTGGGGAGCGTAACCCTGACACGGAATAAGGCAATTCTGAATACTTTCTAGGCAGGACAAAGGCAGTTAAAAATGCCCTTAAAATCCTTCATGTATCTCCATTTCTATAGGTACTTCATTCACTGGAAAGGACAGGGTAACAAACTCAAAAGGGGATATTTTTTTCCTGGAAAATACCATATAGCACAGGGGTAGTCAACCTTGGCTCTTTTATGACTCGTGGACTTCAACTCCCAGAATTCCTGAGCCAGCACAGCACAACTGGCTCAGGAATTCTGGGAGTTGAAGTTTACGAGTCATAAAAAAGCCAAGGTTGACTACCCCTGATTATAGCACATACTCTGTAAGACCTTGGTGGGAAGGTCAAGCTTTGGATTTGAGACCAGGCAGCTCCATCCTCAGATGATCCTTTCTGGCAATTTGCCCCAGTCCCAGCAGGTTTGGGACAGGCTTTGTTCATGGCAATGGAGAGAGAGCAATGGATGTATATTCACTGCCACAGCGGTCTTTTCCCACCATTGTGCAGGACGTTGTTTTCTGTGACAGGGTTCTTACCTGCACACAACTGTTCTGTTTTTCTAACCTCCTCATTCCCTTTCTCACTTGTTCTCACTTCAGCTTATATTCTTCATCTCTTTCTACCCTCCCCTCAAAATGTATTACTGGGAATGTAACAAAAATGGTGTGGACAGGTAGTTAAAGAAGTTTTAAAAAAACCCTAATACCTGACACCCTCTCCACTGTTTCCTGTGAAATTTGGGATTTGGCCCTTCTAACTATCCTGCTTATGTGAAAGGTAATTCCATTCCAGTGAAGCGTAAAAAAAAACAAAGGCATGGATACATTTATATATTTCTGCCCTCCCCACACTAGGTAATGTTAGGTTAGGTCAGGGGTAGGCAACCTTGGCTCTTTTATGACTCGTGGACTTCAACTCCCAGAATTACTGAGTCGACATGGCTGGCTCAGGAATTCTGGGATTTGAAGTCCACGAGTCATCAAAGAGCCAAGGCTGCCTACCCCTGGGTTAGGTAATGGGAGTNTACAGAGATCATGCAGTCACTGATATACAACACTGATAAAAACACATTATACATAACAAACACAAGTAAAACGTCAACCAATACATGTAAATAAAGTTTGGGAGTGTTTAGAAAGTAATGGGAGTGGTTAGGGTTAGGGTTTCCTGTTAATGTTTCAGAAACTGGAGTAAGTTGAGATGCGCTGTCTCCTGGATCTGGATACAAGTGAGGCTCCCCTTTGAGCCAAAGATCCAGGTGCAAAGTGGTTTGGTGGTCTATGTGTCTTCCTCTTTGTTATAGGTTGTCCTCACTTAATGACCACAATTGGGACTGGCAACTTGATTGTTAAGTGGTCACTAAATTCTTTACACACCTGTAAAGGTTACAAATGCAGGGAGTGGTCATAAAGTTGCTTTTTCATGACTGTCCTAACTGCAAATGGTCGCTAAACGAGGGCGAGCTGTACTAAAGAATTCTTTGTGTTGCTGTGCAGTGGAATTTCATAACTGAGGTCCCATGCAAGAAGCCCACGATGGCTTTTTTTCCAATAATTCCTGTACTTTTATTTTTACCTGTCTCTAGGATTCAGCTGAAGCACTTTCGATGTTTACGGGAGAGGAAGAGATATTTGCCTTTCAACGTACTATCTCGCGACTTACTGAAATGCAGACAGAGCAATACTGGAAAGATGGGGATCGGAGCAAAAAAAAGTTGCAGCCGGAAAGTTAAAAATAAAGAGTAACTGAAAAGAAAAAGAGCTTTTTTTAAAGAGGCGCATTAACTAACTTGACACTTTATGTTAGTGTTAAAAATTACAGCATTATTTACTGGCCCCATTTAATGCCAATCTATAGATACAATTTTATTTAGTCTAGCATGAAAACTTTATTGACCAAATAAAAATTTCCTTTTAACTGTTGATGACAGGAAAAATAGATAAAACATATTTATTACTGGCCATATCACACTGTAGTTTGCACAAATAAAAGATACAAGGTAGAAACGTTAAATGCACATTCTGAATCTATCAATCTCTGTTCTATTGTTGAAAAATAAAATATGCAAATGTACCTGGAGTATCCTTGATTTTTAAAAATCGTTTTCTTTTAGGTAGCAATTGAAAATTTCATATACCGTATATTCACAAAATCCCGTGTGTAACACAGATTTGCAGTATTCCACTTGCCACTTAGTGTGTACTCCTTCTGTTTCTCTGCTGCCACAATATGCTCAAGTGATAGTTTCCTATATTATTTATTTATTCATCATGTTTACAGTATATAGCCATCCATCTCTCAGACAAGTGATTGAGTGACATATAACAAAGCTAAAAACAATATATACAAACAAATATTAATATTATGATCCACAGCATACCCTTTCTGCTAGATCTGGTGGAAGGGGCAGCTGTAATCAGAGAATGGGTGGTCCCTCAAATAACCCTCAGATATATATTAATATGTATCATATTTTTCCTATTTCTTTTTCTCACCCTCCCATACCTGGATACACTGCCTCTCTCTCTGTTGAAAAACAAACCATCTTTCAACTAATTCAAGCTGGCCTAGCTCTTTGACAGCTTCGTTCACTGTCAATGCATTTCACCGCATCGCTTGATTCCCATGACAAGGAAGTGAGCAGCACGCTGATACCACTCAACTCCAAGCTTGGAGAGATGCTACCAACTTTTTTTTTTCCTTCACATCTGGAATTTTTACGCCAATGGCCTCCCAACCAGACAATAACAATGCTTACATTCTATTGACATATAAGCATTCAAAGCATGGCCTTCGTTGCAAGCAAATGGCAGGAAAGGATTAAGCATGATTAACGTGCTGTAGATTGGCATGACATTACAGGTAAATTGCTCCCCAGCTTTGCACCCTCTGAATAAAGCAACTCACTCTGAGCTCTTTTATACACTCCTGTGGAGCAATCAGTCCAGACCTGGGAGTGCGCAGCTGTTGCAGAAGGCTAACCCAGGCTTAGTACTTGTGAGGGAAGGTATTTAACTATTGCTATAATTATTGTGATTGCAAATATTGAAAAATTAGGGAAACACCTGTAATATGTGAGATTTATGGCAGCCATTGCACAAAATGCCTCTATCCCACGATTAAAATAATGATTTATCTTCATACAAACCAGTTATAAAAGGCTTTTTATTTAATGAGTGAAAGTAATAATAGATTACTTTAAAAGTGTTTTATCATTAGAAATCATGGCCTTTACTGTATTATATTTTGGTACTACATTAAACTTACTTAAATATAATTTGGTGTGTATAAATTTAATATCGAAAGAGCAATTTATTTCCCAAATATAGTAACTGTCTCAGCATTCATCTCAGGCATCCTTGATCCCAATTATCGGTATCTAAAAATATCTGACTCCATTATTTCAAAATTAGTACCTATCTTTTTGTTTCTGTTATGTGAGAATTCATGTCGTTTTTCAGAAAGGCTTTGGAACAATCTAGGACTTTATTATAACTAAAAACTTTATGCAATCATAATAATCACATCCAGAGAGGGCATTGTTGCACCTTAAAATAAGACACCAGAACCCAACCTAATCTAGAGATGCATGAAGTTTAATCCTAATTTGGTGTACTGCCACAACTTTTGTTTTCGTTGCAATACATTGACAGGCAAGTTCTCTGAAAGTTTCCATATACTTCCTCTGTTCACTTTTACTACTCTTTTTTTTTTTTTTTTTTTTGCTTTTCTCTGTGCTTTAGAATAGATTATAAGATTCTTGGGAGCAGGGACCCTTTGAATGTATTTAATGTATTGTTTGTGAAATGCTATGTATAGAAGCTGTGCTATATAAAAATAATGTTAACCCCACCCTGCAACTGAATACCGAGCAGCAAGTCATATGCTTCAATTATTGTTACCAATAATGGAATTATGACAGTAGGAGTAGCTTGATCTTATTGATGCACATCTTTCTTCATTGTTACTAAATTGCTGTATAAACATTTGAAGTGATTGTTGATTTATTGCCAAAAGAACAAAAGGCATGAACCAGAGGGAGGAAAAAAATGAGTGTGATGATTGAGGGAAAGTTGAAGACCATGGCAATGGCTATTGAACCTTCCTACTCCTATTCAGGCCTGTATAAACTCCCCATCCTTCAAATGGTCTTGAACTAGCTCACTGGTTAGGCAGAAAATTGAATACCAGGAGAGAGGAAAGGGAGTTGGCTTCTGTAAAGGGGAAGGGGCTGCCTAAACACCCTGGAGCAAACTGGCAACCTAGCCCGTCTGTTTGAAGGAAGATCAAATGCCATTATCTGCTAACACAGCTTATCTTTTTAGTTGGACATTTTAATTTGATATGATAGTTTGAAAGCTCCAAACTTCACAGGAGACTGTTTTAAAGCCATGTCCCTAAAAACTTCAGGCACTGGAATGAATAAATGTAATTAAACTCTCTACACCCTGGTATTTCCAGCATTTGTTTTCTGGCATCTGCAACTAGTACTGTTAGTTCATCCCTCTCTGCCTAAAGTGGTCACTACCATATCTCTGGATATTATTCCCATCAGATCATTTATCCATCTGTATTGACTGATGCTGCAACTTATCTGCCTCCCCCCCCCCAAATCAAGTCTGAACAAATGTAAAAAAAAATAATAACCTGCAGCAAATTAAACATAGATTACCTGGATGTTCTGTACCAACTGTATAAAGAAAGGAAGTTTATTTCCAGGAAAATGCGGAAGTACCTGTGGTCTGTACTGTCATCTTACTACATTGAAGCCACTTCAATATATCATCATATATTATATGGTCAAGTCCAGGGGTAGGGAACCTTGGCTCTTTTATGACTCGTGGACTTCAATACCCAGAATTCCTGAACCAGCCATGCCGACTCAGGAATTCTGGGAGTTGAAGTCCACAAGTCATAAAAGAGCCAAGGTTCCCTATCCCTGGTCTAGTCCAATCAGATTTATCCATAGTTAACAAACAATTAAAAAAAACCCATTTATGATTCAGAGCTACACACAATGAAATAATATCCTGAAATATTTTAAAGTTATATACTTTAAAGTTATATACTGATGTTCTTAAACTGTTATTCAATTATCCAGGTATATATTCAATCTCTGATCCAACTTGTAGAATAGGATACTAAACATTGCGGATAGCTAGTTGTGTAGGCATATGTTGGCATCTAGCACCACCCAGCGTTCATTGTTTACAATAGAACTTTTTTACATCTCAGCGGATACTAGGTTTTACTTGAGGCACAATCCAGTTAATATTTGAATAAAAAGATCAACCTTGAACATTGTGATATTTAACTATGATTGTTCTACACCACCGTTTGCCTAACACGACACTCTTAAGACTCCTTTGTGTCTGTTGTCTTCGCTAGTGGTGGTGTTTTAAAGTATGCTGGCTGGGAAATTCTGGGAGTTGAAGTCCACATGTTTTAAAGTTGCCAAAGCTGAGAAATACTGATCATTAGGCACAAAAGCTGTGGAAAAAACAGGAATGGCAATCAACGCCTTCATGGCAAAAGCTGACCATTTCTTCTGAAAGTAGATAACTCGTGCCAATGCAGCTCTGTCACCAACTGTGTCATAGTGGCTCCAAAAAGAGTCTGTCTGTTGCCACCATCAATGTTGCAATGCTGCTGCAGTTCCTTGTTGTCTACAGTAACACCATCAGTGTTGCTGTGTAGACAACAAGGAACTAATACAACTAATTTCTTGACATCTCTATCAGCAAACGTAAGAGGTAGACTTCAACAGGATGTATTACTGGGTTCACATATGGTATCACGGTAAGGGTTGTTTGCCAGATCCACAGATATGGTCAAAACTGTCAAGATGGTAGCCACAATGATGTGATTGATAACCCACATTAAAAATAGGCAAAGCTTCGATAATATTATCACAATCACTAATTTGACATTTTTGACTGCCGTCTCCTAGCTGTCTGAGTTTGATTTCAGTGAATCCAGCCACTGTGGCACATAAATCATGGTTTATGGCTTAGCCCATGGGTGAACCTAGCAAGTAAAGAGCAAAATACTTACGAAAGCCAATTTGATCTAGAAGTGGTTAAGGCTAGAAAGTGGAAGACCATGAGTTCAAGTCCTGCCACCAGTTGGCTGATCTTGGGCCAGTCATTCTCTCTCAGCCAACACACTTCAGAGGGTGGTTGTGGGGAAAATAGAAGGAGGAAGGAGTATTAAGTATGTTTGCTGCTTTCTTTGTAAAAATAATAAAGGCGGAATACAAACAAACAAACAAATAAATAAATAAATAAAATGTGATTAAAAGAGCTTATTGCATAGTGCAAGTTATTTATTTTAATTTCCAAAAACAGCTATCTGCAGCTCTGGATGGCTTACAGAGGATTAAAAAACAATCAAAAGAGGTTTTTTTTAAAAAAAATCATATCACTAAAAGACAGCCATGTCAAGGAAGAAAACAAAATCAAATATTACACTTTAGCAACTTCAATTGCATCAACTAGGCATCACGCTTAACAGAGACAGCCACCTTTCTGGCTGGCCCAGAGCCTCTGAGGAGAACCAGAACCATCATTGCTTTCCTGAAAGCTAACGGCATCAGGGCTGTATAGAGTTTGGAAGAGATACTATTCCACTGGTGAACCACAGCGACACAGAAGACATGCCGCTTGGCTCTCGTCCGGTGACACTGCTTTACTGATGAAACTTGGAGAATACAGCTCTGCCCAGTTTTATATGGCAAGCAAGAGTCAATGATAAAACGATGGTCCTACAAGTGTCCCTGAGCCCTAAAGCAGGGGTCCCCAACCCCCGGTCCGTGGCCCAGTACCAGTCTGCGGCATGCCAGCAACCGATTCTCTGATGCCCAAAAGGTTGGGGATCTCTGCCCTAAAGCATTATGAATATTTATTGTTCACACCTATGCCTCCAACTACTATTTTGACCAGTAGGATAGTTTTGCCATTCTGCCCTTGCTTATGAGCATCCCAACTGCATCCAGTTGCATTCTGTGGGACCTGACAGCTGGGGCAGTGGGGCTCTGCTTAAGTTTCTAGATGCTGT